GGAGGTGTGCAGGAGGCAGCCAATCAATGATTCTCTCTCATCATTGATGTTTCTGTCTTTCTCCTTCTCCCTTCCTCTCTGAAATAATAAATATATAGTTTTAAAGTTTTCCTTTATTGATTGAGGTATCACATATCGGCGGTTGGGGTGTCCCAGGAGCCATGTATGCACCCACACAGCTCTAACTCGGTACACCCAGGAGAGATTTCAAAGCACATGAATCTGTCCCATATAACGGCCCCCAGTTTTACCTTCCCCTTAGCCACGGCCCAAATGGCCGCAGCTACGCCCCCAGGGGGCGGGAGACAGAGGGACTGGCAATGGAGGGGGACGGCGAGCCTCCCTCAACTCAAAGCCTGACGGCTGACGGCATTGCCGGGCCCGCCCAGGGCACCCCGTCACCTTGGTGTTCGTCCTTCCCTGATGAACTGCAGCGGGACAGGTGTCAGGCGGCCCCGGAGAGGGCGCTCTGGGGGAGACAGCCTTGGAACAGGATGGGGGGCCGCCTGCCTCTTAACTTGGCTAATTTTGTGTTGGCCCACAAGCTCCCCAGCCCACCTGCCTCCCTCCACCCCCGGCCCGCACATGGGCAGAGCGGGGAGGTCCCTGAGGTTTGAGCCCACCCCACGCACCACTCCTGGGCGGGAAGAGGGTCCCAGCCGGCTGGCAGAGTTCTCCCTGCTGAGCCCCCACCCTGCCCTCTCCTGGCGCACAGCTGGGCAGGCTGGCCTCGGAGGTCTGGAAGGGACAGGGTGGCAGCCGGGAACGCACGGGTCTCAGACCCGCCGGGCCCGCCGGGCCGCTATGGGCTGCTGGAAATTCGTCCATGTCGTGAGGGGAGGGCAGACGGGAGAGAAAAAGTGCAGACTTGGGAGAAAAAGGCCGCAGCCTGGAAGGAGGGCAGTGGTGAGGGTGGCTCTTTTCCTGTGGCCGCCCCTGGGGCTGGGGGCCCTGAGGCTGGGGGCCCTGGGGCTGGGGGGCCCTGAGGCTGGGGGCCCCTGGGGCTGGGGGGCCCTGAGGCTGGGGGCCCTGGGGCTGGGGGGCCCTGAGGCTGGGGGCCCCTGGGGCTGGGGGGCCCTGAGGCTGGGGGGCCCTGAGGCTGGGGGGCCCTGAGGCTGGGGGCCCTGAGGCTGGGGGGCCCTGAGGCTGGGCCCTGAGGCTGGGGGCCCTGAGGCTGGGGGGCCTGAGGCTGGGGGGCCCTGAGGCTGGGGGGCCCTGAGGCTGGGCCCTGAGGCTGGGGGGCCCTGAGGCTGGGCCCTGAGGCTGGGGGGCCCTGAGGCTGGGGGGCCCTGAGGCTGGGGGGCCCTGAGGCTGGGGGCCCTGAAGCTGGGGGGCCCTGAGGCTGGGGGGCCCTGAGGCTGGGGGGCCCTGAAGCTGGGGGGCCCTGAGGCTGGGGGCCCTGAGGCTGGGGGGCCTGAGGCTGGGGGGCCCTGAGGCTGGGGGGCCTGAGGCTGGGGGGCCCTGAGGCTGGGGGGCCTGAGGCTGGGGGGCCCTGAGGCTGGGCCCTGAGGCTGGGGGCCGTGGCCAGAGGCCCTGCCCCCCTCCCGCAGCCGGTCTGTGCAGCGGTTCGGCCCCCCCCACCCCCCCGCCTGTCTCCTGACCCATCGTGGCCTCTGGAACATCCTCTCCGTAGCTGGTCCCCCTCCTTCCCACGGCTCTGTCCTCAGAGGAAGACGTGGCGTGTTTTCCAAACCATCCCAGTTCCTCTGGGTCTCCATGCCAGCCTCCCGGCTCTGGTGGCAGCGATGTCCCCGAGCGGCTCGGAGGGCCTGGGGGAGGGGGCCGCCTGCTCCCTGCCGGCTCAGGGCGGCCTGAGTGCGGATGGGAACGCAGCAAAGGGAGAAACCGGGGCGGGAACAGCAGCAGGCGGGGCGCCTGTCCTGGGGGAGGGGCCGAGGCGGGCGCTTCCGATCCCTGGGAAGTCAGACAGGAAGGGGCCTCGCTCGCGGGGACCCTTAGGGCGCAGTGAGCCCCGCCGCCTCGGTGCGCCTTCCACGTGACACCGAGTCCGGACGCCGAGGGCTGGGGCTGCCTGTGCCCCCTGCTCTGCCTCCGCCTGGCTGGCTCTAACGGTCCTTCTGTTGTCCCCCAGTTCCCTCTCTCGGGTTTCGCTGGCACCGATGGCACCCGCTGGGCCTTTGTTCCGTCTTCCAGGCCAGGGTGGGTCAGCAGGGTCTCTGGCCAGGGAGGAGGGCGAAGCCATTTGCTCTCAAGTGTCCTTGTTTGGGGAGATAAGGTCATGTGACTCAAGCTGGCTGCCAGTGCCCAGACTGTTGGGCCTTGTTGAATGTTCTTGCCTCAGTTTCCCCATTCCACTTGCCCAGGGATTGTCCTAGCTTCTGACTGTCCTCGCCCAAGCAGGGGCATCAGAGGCAGGAGACGCGGGGGCTGGCACTGGGGAGAGGGCGACCGAGGGGGCGATTGGTTAGAGGGCTGGGGTCCGACAGCACCTCTGTCCAGCATGCGGGTGGTGTCAGCGCGGGTGGTGTGAAGGACAGACAACACGCAGAGACGTGCATACGATGCCCATACAATAACTCAGCGACGGGAGAGAACAGAGGGGAACACTCTGCGCTCCCCACCGAGTCCCGGTCCGCCCCTGCAGCCTCCTCGCGGGGACGGGGGACGGCTGTCCTGACTGGAAGGAACCCCTTTTCCAGCTTCCGGCGCCGTTACCAGCGGGGCCTGGACCTCTGGACGCTGCAGCCGGGCTCCCTGTGTTTGACCTTGAAATCAGTGAAATGGTATCGGTAGGCAGCATTCTGTTAGTCATTATCCCAGTCCCCGTGCAAGCACCTTGCAGGCGCCCGTGTGGCCTCAGCGGGGACGCGTTTGGCCAGGTCGGCGACTGGCCCTGTGGCAGCGCGGGCGGCGGTGCTGAGGCGGCGCCTCCGGGGGCGCTGTCTGGCAGGAAGATGGCCTCCCCGGTGCGCGGGTGGCTGTGTCCCTTCACTGCCCCAAACCTGACATCGGAAAGCCAGTCTCCCCGTGTCCTCTTGGCCTCCTGGTTCCCGGGAATTGCCTCCCCCGGCCCGCTGGCTGTCCAGGGCAGCGGTTCTCAGCCTTCCCTTTAACACAGCTCCTCATGTGGTGGTGACTCCCAAGCCAACAATTATTTTCGTTGCTACTTCATAGCTGTAATTTTCCTGCTCCAGGCTCAGTTTACAAGCCCAATGATGCATTTTCATTGTTACAAATTGAACATAATGAAAGCATAGTGGTTAATCACAAAAACAATATGTAACTATATATCGTGAAGTATCTATTTCTAATGACAAATACATGAAGTTTTGTCTTGAAGCATGGTGTAGCATGGGTAACAGTCTTAGTATAACAACAGTAAACTATGCTGCTACATGTGTGTTTTCCGATGGTCTGAGGCGACCCCTGTGAAAGGGTCGTGACCCACAGGTGCGCGGCCTCGGGCTGGGCTGGGTATTGTCTTCAGTGAGGCTCGGTGTGAGGCCCAGGCCTGCAGGCGGCAGCTGCCTCCGCAGCATCTGCAGATGCAGGACTCGCTCTCGGCCCCTCCCTCCCGCCAGCCTGAGTGTCTGAGTCATATTCTGTATGGTATCTGTGGTCCTCTCCTATTCTGACCATGACACCACGGCTTCTATCCTGACACCCTCTGATTGGCTTCCGCCGGGACCCCGCCTGGCCATAAACTTGGAATTTGTATGAAGTCACTCCCCTGTCCTTCCTGGGCCGTTTCATCCCTCATGACCGGCAGCATCCCTAATGTCCACGCAGAGACGGTCCGCACTCGCAGCCGGAGGGCCGGGCCTTGCGGTGACCGCTGGGCTCCCGGCAGCCGGCTCCCGGCACAGCGCTCGCACCGCCGGTGCTGGGGGAGCCTCTGGGGGACGGGGTGCGGGGACGGAGCCGCCCGCCTGTGGCCAGCGCCCTGTCCTGGCTGCTTCCTCTTGCTTTTCCTTATCAGTCACCCCCCCAGCAACACCCTCAGAGCCACGCCAAGCGAGCCACGGGCCCGGCCACGGAGACCCACCGAGCTCCTCCAAAGCCACGAGCTCGTGGGCAGGCGTCTGCCCTCGTCCCTGTCCCCGGATTTAACGTCAGAATGGACGTGGGGGTGTGGGCGAGCAGCCAAAGGGAGCTGCACCCGGCGAGACCTGGGCTCGCACGTCACTCCCTGAGATACTGAGAGGCTCTCTCTGCCAGAGAAGCCGAACCCGCACCATCTGGGGGTCACGTGCCGGAGCAGCAGCTAAGCGGCTGTGGGGGGGCCGCTGTGGGAGGGGGGAACCCCCTGTGGCGGGGGGCGGTGCTGGCACCGGGAGGGCCTGGCTCGGCAGCAGGTTGAAAACTGTGGCGTTTGCTGCAGCTTTTCCCTGCGGACAGCCCCAGTGGGCACCTGACACCCTGACGCCCGGCCTGCGGGCTGCCCGTGGACCCAGCGGGCAGGTCCCTTCCAGAGCAGGGCCAGGGGTGGACAGGGGGCAGGTGGGGAGGTGGGCAGGGGGAGCATCTGGAGGAGGGGCACCTGTGATGGGGCCCGGACAAAGCCTGAGCGGGAAGGCCCCGAAGGCATTGGGGAAAGGCCCCTGTCCCCTCCCCCCCTCCCGCTGGGCAGTCTGCAAACTGCTGTGTTGGAAATGGAATGGAGTGACCCACTGGGAAGAGAACCAAGAGCTCAGAAGTGGACCCAAGGACAAGGGGATTAATTTGACATAAAGTGCTTTTCATCGGTGGGGTCAGGTGGGCGATGAACAGACGGGGAGGGGCAGGTGGGTGGCATCGACAATAAAAACATGGAGCCACACCTGGGACCCACCACGAGGGACCCCAGATGTAACGGCAGGACCGGGGCGGGAAGCCCGGGGGAAGCCGTGGGCAGCAGCTGGCGGTCACGGCGGGGGAGGCCAGGACAGGGGTCCGGAGAGGGCGTGGGGGTCTCCGGCCCACACCGCCGAAGCCAGGTGACAGACACACTGAGGGGATCTGTGCACCTCGAGGGACAGCTAATGTCTCTGCTGCATAAAGAGCTTTGAACAAAGTGCCGCTGGGCCCGTGGGCTGAGGGTTTCTTAGTTCCCCACCCAGGAAAGGGGCGGCTGCTCCCACTCGGAGAGAAGTAAACGTCACGCTTTTGCCTGAGAGAAAAGCATTACCCCATCAGGCAGCAACGTCAAACCCCGTGGGGGCCTCCGTGCACCGCTGCATGAGGCCACAGAACGCCAGCCACACACACACACACTGACGGCGACATCTGGCCTGACGAGAACTGCATCATCAACCTGGCCAGTGTGGCTCAGCAGGTAGAGTGTCAGCCTTTGGACTGAAGGATCCCGGGTTCAATTCCAGTCAAGGGCACGGACCTCAGTTGCAGGCTCCACCCTGGCCCTGGGCCCGAGCTCATGCAGAAGGCAACCAATCAATGTGTCTCTCTCACATGGATGTTTCTGTCACTCCTTCTCTCTCACTCTCTCTAAAAATCAATGGAAAAATTTCCTCCGGTGAGGATTACCACCACAAAGCTGCATCATGACCTTTGACCAGGCAATCCTACTTCCAGGAACCTGTCCTCAGGCATCACACACCCAAACCCCCTGCGTGCATGGGACTCCTCGCGGTGCTGGACGGTCGGAGTTCATGAGGGGGTGGGTGAATGGATCCGCCTCTCCTAGGGGTTCACCTATGACTCTGAAGAGCCCGAGGCTGACCAGCTTTCAAGTAAAAAGGCAAATGCAGCACTCACAGGGAGGCCGCTGCTATCGGGGGAGGTGGGGCTGCGCGCATTTGCATAAAATGCCTCTGGGAGCAGAGGGCTCCCCGGAGGCAGGAGGGACCAACCGGCAGGAGGGACCAACTGGAGAGCCCTCTCCGTTGTCATTTTTGGACTCAGAGCCCTGTCTGGAGGTGTGAGGGTCTGGGCCGGCCCAGCATGGAGTCCAACCCTCCTGGCCCAGGCTGGCGGCAGCTCCAGCAGTGAGGGGACAGCGATTTGTGAAACGGCCGTTCTTGTCTCTGATGAGGGCTTCGCACGGCCTGTGCTCCCTCAGCCAGGAGGGGCAGTGTGGGCAAGAACGTGGGTTTTCGGTTTTCGTTCCGTTTCTTCACGCCCACTCCTGCCGGTTCCAGGATTCTCACCAGGAGGCTCGGGGGCAGGGCCCTGGCTCTGTGCTGCTGGTCTGGCAGCAGCTGAGGGCTTTACAGACACAGTTTGGGGGGACGCTGAGCTGACCAGGGAGATGAGGAGCCAAGAAGACTTGGGCAGCCCAGAAATACTAAACTTCCCTCCTGGACGGGCTGGCCTCCCCAGGGCACGGAGGGCGCCCTGCACTGCCCCGGCTTTAGGGGCAGAGGGGAGCTGGCCTCCGGCCCAGCAGCTCCTCCGACTGGTGGCCCCTGGAGGGACCAGGTGCGCAGTGAGGACCTGTGCCGCCTGGGCCTCCTCCCTCCCCCCTCCAGCTCCTCCCGCTGCGGGCAGAACCGGCCCGGGTTTCACAATTTATCAAGACCTGAGTACAGGACGGCCCTGGGGTCCAGCCCGCCCTCCCTGGCTGAGACTGGGGAATTCGTCATGGGAATGTCAGTCCCCTCCACGGTGAGGCCACAGGTGGGAATACCTTCATTTCACAGATGGGGGAAACTGAGGCCCTGAGAGGGGGCGGAGCCGGAGACTGAGGGGAGCTGGGTAGAAGCCGAGGCAGGAGGCCCAGGGTGAGCCAGGGCTGCCTCCTGCCACGCCCACAGGATGCCGAGGGGCACAGGGAGAGGCTGGGGGCATTGATGCCATGTATGGGGGGCAGGAAGGGGTCCCCAGGGCACAGCGTGGCACTCTGGGCAGCTGGGGGACAAGCAGAGGCACTGGCCCGCAGGCTGCCGGGCTGCAGGCAGAGGCTGAGGACGCTGCTGGGCGGCGGCAGCTGTGCCCTCGGCCGCCCGCGGTAAGGATGAGCACAGGGCAGCCCAGGCCCGTGGTCCAGGCCCTGGCGCTGAAATTGCCCACTGTCCCCTCTCCCACCCCATACGGGGGTGATCTTGGGCCAGGCAAGCCCAGTCCCATCCTATCTTTATGACCTCACTTCTGGGTAATGGGACCTGCCCAGCAGAGAAGGGGGGAGGCCTCCTCCCGGGTATCCTTTGCTCATCTGGAAGATGTTGTAAAGTGGGCCCTGCCCCAGCCCACGTGGTGCCCCCTGCTGACTCCACAAGAGCGGTCTGTGGACCCAGGCAGGATGCCAGCCAAGACTGGCCTCCTGCAGGGCGAGCAGGGGGAGGCTGGTCAAAAGGCACCTCCGAGCCTCGGTTCTGTCCCCTCCCCGACCAGAACCCATTTCACCACAGCCAAGGAAGCGGGGGCAGCGCGGTCTCCAAACCGTTTATTTCTCCCGACCAGAGGTGGGGGCCGCCGGGAGCGCGAACACGCTGCGGCGGGGCCCTCAGGCGAAGGTGGAGCCGTTCCAGCCCACGTTGGCCGCGTTCATGTCGTAGTAGTTGATGTAGATCCTGCGGGGGGAGAGGGGGTGCAGGCCGTGCTGAGCGGGCTGCGCGCCCGGCGCCCCCTCCCCCCGCCCCCCCTCCCCCATCCCCCATCCCCGGCGGCCCCCATCCGCCGGCCCCGCCCCCGCACCTGTCCGGGCTGAGGCGCAGGCGCTCGGCCAGGAGGCCGCACAGCAGCTTGCTGTAGGCGCGGTTCTGCGGGCCGCCGATCTTGCCGATGCTGTGCAGGCTGCAGAGCGCGCAGGGCTCGGTGGAGCCGCCGAAACTCATGAGCTGGTCCGGCACCACGTGCACCGCGATGTACTGCGGGGAGGGCGCGGTCAGACCCCGAGCGGCTGGGCTCCGGGCGCCCCCGCCCCCCCACCGCCGCCCCACGTCCCTCTCCAGCCCGGAATGGCCTCCCCGCCCAGCCCGGCCCATCCTCCCGTCCCCTCCCCACAAACCTGGGCCGGCTTGCCCGTGGCCTGCGCCAGCTGCTGGGTGAGTTCGGAGAGGAGCCCGTCCGGCACCGAGGCGCGGGGCACGTTGGTGTTGACCACGAACATCGGCATGATCGCGGCGGCGGCGAGCACGGGCACAGGAACTAACGCGCGCGCGGCTGAACCTGAGCTACGTGACCGCCGGTTCCGCCCCAGGCCCCGCCCCAGTGCGCCGGAGGCCCCGCCCCCGACGTAGCGGAGACGGAGGCCCCGCCCCTGACGTCGCCGAGACGGAGGCCCCGCCCCGTGAATCCGGGCTCCTGCGGGAGCCGGAGCCGTGAGGTCAGTGGGGTCGGCCGCCTGCGGGTTTCCGGCTGGTCCCGCTCGTCCTGCTGCGGGGACCCCTGGCTGCGCTCACCTCCGCGCAGCCCCCGAACCTGCCTGCCCCTCAGTCTCTGGCGTTCGGGAGCTGGAGATCGCAGCTCATGGGGAGATGGCCCTGTCCTCAGGGGTGAGGCCGGCCCCGCAGAGGAGTCCCGTCCCCTTCCCTGCACGCATTGAGGGAAGCCCCACAAGCCCCCAGGGACCACAGTCCTGAGTGTGAGAGAGTGCGCTGGTCATCGCTGCAGGGGCTGGAGGGCCGCCCGTCCCCACCGGTGCCACCTCCCTGGGGTGGGCGAGGATGCTGGCAGGTGCCAGGGTGGGAGCAGGGAGCGGGAGGCGGGGCCCAGACACAGCTCCTGGGGTGAAAGGCCGGCAGCAACCAGACCTGGGAGTCACCCCCAAACTTCAAGCCACTTCTGAGCACTAGGGCTCTGCCTCTGGGTGCCTCTCAGAGCCTGCAGCCAGGCTGCCAAGCACACACGGTGCCGGCTGAATAAATGAATGGGTGAATGAGTATCGCCATGAGACAGAGAAAGAGGACAGCAGCTGAAGTGGGGCCCGGGCCACGCCGAGAGCCAGGGGCCACCCACCGCCACTCTGAGGGCCCCGTGGGGTGTGTGCTGAGAGCCGATCTCAGGTGCGAGAGGGAGCGTGGTGTGTTTGGCCAGGTCCGCAGAGCTCTCCAGGAAGGTCCTGTCCTTGGTCTCGGGGAGATGAACCAGGCTCATGAGGTGCAGTGAGAACTGGCCACTGGTGCCCGGACGGTGCGCCCTGCGCCATGTCTCCAGCCAGAGCGTCCTCGGCCCAGCACCCGGCTCAGCACTGCTTTCTCTAGGTCTATGTCAACTTCTGGGCTCTTCTCCACTCTAATTGCCTGCTTCCCGCCTGGATCTCACTCCTCCGCACCCACCTCACCACCACTGCCCGCTGCATTGCCCCAGCAGAGCCCCGCAGGTCCGGCTGAGCACTGGCCCCAATGATATGTGACAGGAGGGACATGGGCGACTCACGTCCGAGGCCAGCACCCAGCGTGCTGCTCGCTGACGTCCTGACGGGAGCCCGGCCCTGTGCAGGCTGTGACTGAGAATAGGGGAGCCCCCTGATCAGGACGGCCGGAGCCACTTGCCGTCACTTCCCACCTTGTTCCCAAGGAGGCGGTCTCGTTCCCAGGCCCCCCTCTTGCTAGCCTGGATACTTGCCTGGTACTCTGAGCCTCATTTCCCTGTAACGGGGGTGCGGGCATTCCTCCCTCACGGAGGTGTGCTGGTCTGCATACGGGGATGGCCTTCTCCGACATCAGAGACTGCACTGTCCCAACGCCCCGGGACATCCCGCCCCACGGCCAGCGCGGCCCTCTCTCGTCCCTCTGTCCACGCCACGCTCCTGGCTCCTGGCGTGGGTCCCGGTCCGTTCCTTGGGAAAGGCGCCCGAGTCCCTGGCTCTGGCAGGTCCTGCCGGCCCAGCATCTGTCCTGTCCTTCGAGGCCATGGCCAGATTTCTATTTGTGAGCCCATCTCTCCAGGCGCAAGCCCCGTGAGAGTGGAGACTTCAGCCGTTGCTGTCTGCCTCCTTCCTGACGCTGCACTTGGTGCGGTCCGAGGCCTCCAAAGATCCCCGTGTGACCGGCCCGGAGCAAGCTGTGTCACCGGGAAGACGCACCGGCTCGCGGGCTGTGACTGGGGAGATTGTCGTGGATTATCTGGGTGAGTCCAAGATAACCGCAGGAGCCCTGAGAGCAGAGAATGTTCTCCAAGGAGGCAGGGATGCACCGAGGGGGAAGCCAGACCCAGAGCGGGAGGCCAAGCGCTGCTCCAGGCTTTGCCGATGACGGGGGCGCCGCAGCCACGCACACAAGGAACTGAATTCTGCCGACAGCCTGAATGGACACGGAGGGGGGCTTCCTGGCCGAGCTGAAGCACCTTGACCTCGGCCGTGTGAGGCCTTCGGCCGGAGGCCTGCTCCCCCCCTCCCCCACTCCGGCTGGACCTCTGACCCACAGCCGTGAGCTAATAAACGTGCCCTGGTATAAGCAGCTACACGTGTGGTCATTTGTTCTGGGAGCGACAGAAAGCAATGCCTCTGGCATCCATGGGGCTCCGTGGTCATCTGCTGGCAACAGGACCCCTGCGCAGGAGGCGACGCAGGCACGGCGGGGCCCTCCCTCACCAGGACCCGTGTGTGAAGAGAGCTCGGCTCCGGCGGGTGAGGCCAGGCAGCCCGCGGCTCATGCCCGGTGTGGGTAGAGGGCAGCAGCGGCTGTGCTGATGGAGCGCCGCCCTAGCAGCTTCCCGCCGCCCGCCAGAACACGGACACAGCCCCGGCTGGGCAGCCGGGAGCTGGGAACCAGGCCACCGAGTGGGAAGGGGTGGCCCAGGAGAGCCTGGGCTCGGGGCCCTGCAGCCCGAGGTTAGAGGAGAGAAGCCCCCTCCTCCACGCACGGCCGGCCAGTTTCGGCCATTGAGAAACAAGCTTCTTGAGGCAGGAACCACAGTTTTCTCTGGGAGTAGAATTTTTGTTGGGTATAAACCTACCCGCATGTCCAACAAAAGGTGCCTCCGCTGGCCTGGCCTCATGACTGCCCAGGGAAGATCTGTTCTGGTGGCTGGGAAGGGGAGGAGGGGGCATCAGACCCGTGTACCAGGTCAGGGTTCGATTCCCGGTCAGGGCACTTGCCTGGATCCCCAGAGTGGGGCGTGCAGGAGGCAGCCGGTCCGTGATTCTCATCATCAGTGTTCCTCCCGCCCGCCCGCCCTCTGCTGACTGACGTGGTGATGGTGACGTTAGCCCAGAGATGCTCTCGCCCTGCCCTCAACACACAGACCACACATCCCCTCGTTATGTTGCCACCGAGTTCACTGTTGACTGTTAACCATCCTGCGCCCACCTACTCATTTCCCTTTCCATCCAGCCAGAGGTCCCCCGCCCCCCGCTTTGCTTTCTGCCGCCTCCCTCACTGTCGCCGATGAAGCTCACGTAACCACCGCGGGCTCCTCTTCGCCGTGATGTACACAGCTCGGTAACCACGCTCCTCTGGAGCGTTATTCCAGCTCCTTGAGATTCTGCTTCCTGGCAACTGGCTCAAATAAACTCACAAAAATTCTCTAACACAAGTGAGAGTGGAATGAAAGCGAAGACGGACCCCCAGCCTCCGTGAGAGCTGGCACCCTGACCCCAGCTCCCGCGGCCTTCCCAAAGGCGACCTCCGGCATCTCTGTCTTGCGAGTTCAGCTGTTTTTGAACTGAAGATGCTTGGCGCAAAATACATGCCTGACAACATCCAGACTCAGATGTGTTCACGGGGTTTTGCATTGGGGTGCGATCTCGCCGTTCCCTGGGAGCCCGCTGGTCTCCCCGTGACCGCCAGCTGTGGGCACAGCCTCAGAACAGGCAGTTTCCTTGCAAATGTCCAGGGCAGGCGCCCGTCCCGTCTCGGACTAGAGCCCCCAGGAAAGCCTTCCTGGTTCGTCCATTTCACTGACAGAGCCCTCCTATGACAGGCCAACACTGGCCCCGAGCCAACCGTGTGGGAACCCAGCCGAACACAGTGCTCCCATCAGGAGCCACGTGTCGGGAGCGGCATGAGAGCCAGTCCCGCTGAGGTGCGGTCACCGAGGACCAGAATTGGGTGGGCTGAAGAACGAGCCCGGCCAGTGTGGCTCAGTGGCTAGTGTCATCCTGTGGACCAAAGGGCCGCAGGTCAGATTCCTGGTCAAGGGCATGCAAGTGGGTTGCAGGTTTCCTAGCCTGGAAGGGTGGGTGCGAGGCAACCAATTGATGTCTCTCTCACATCAGTGTTTCTCTCCCACTCCCTCCCTTCCATTCCTTATAAATCAATAGAATATCCTTGGGTGAGAATTAAAAAAACAAAACGACACAGCTGGCCGGTGTGGCTCAGTGTTTGTGCATCAACCGAGACAGACAGGTCTAAGCCATACTCTGGTCAGGGCACATGCCTGGGACTGTGGGCTCAGCTCCCCAGCAGGGGGCGTGCGGGAGGCAGCTGATCCATGTTGCTGTTTCCTTCATTGATGTTTCTATCTCGTTGTTCCTCTCTCTAAAAAAAAAAAGGGTGACACCCCACCCATAGCAGAGCCTTTAGTGGTCGCCATCGCCGTGATAAAGCCGCTCACCCCATCCCAGCCATCGGCTTCCGGTTTATTCTGCAGCCGGACGCTGTGCAGGCAGGGGCGCGGGCGGGAAGCTGTCCCCCGGGGGCCTGGACCAGAGACGCGAACGGTGGACCGAGCTCCCAGGCAGCACTGGACGTTAGGGGCTGGATGATTCTTTGTTTAGAGAGTAGAAAAGAGGGAAAGAGAAACTTGGATGTGAAACACATCGATTGGTTGCCTCCTGCACACGACCCCACCAGGACCCTTCAGTCCGCAGACCAGTGCTCTACCCACTGAGCCCAGCCAGCTCGGGCCGAGATGATGTTCTTGAAGACAGAAGGTCTGGCCAAGTTAGTGCCCGCAGCCAAGAAGGGGCCTCGGGAGACAGTCAGGGGCGAGAGGAGGCAACCGACCAGCGCGCGTGTCTCTTCCACTCTTCTCTCCTCCCCCCTTCCCTTCTCCCTAAAAATCAGGGGGAAAATATCCTCTGGTGAGAACTGACAAAAATAAAAGATACAAGTGACCTAGGGTCAGGACCCCTCTGCCCCTGGCCCCCGGCAGGCACGCGGCAGTTTGCAGCAGAAGTGGTGTATTTGGCTTAAGGAAGCTCGTGTTACTGACGTTAACGCAGAAGTCTGGCTCCACTCACGCTCATTAAATAGAAACCTAGGGATCAGTCACGCATCACACACGGAGGGCCTGGCCATCCGCACGCATGTCCCGAGAGCTGGGCATGTTTTCCACGTGCGTCCTCGGAGCGGACAGTCCGTCTGAGGCTCCAGGCGGAGGGCGCCCGGACCGAGGGCGGTGCGAGGCCGGGAGCCGGGGCGCCGGGTTCGGGTGCAGGTCCGAGGCGGCGGGCTCCCAGGCTCACAGGTGCTGCAGGGCCTCCTGTCCTTGCTCCGTGTAGCCGTCGTCCCGCTGGGCGCTGGCCCACTGGCCGAAGGACTCCGGGCTGTGCGGGCTGCGCGGCATGCTGGCCAGGCGCCTCTTGTCCCGGGAGAAAAAGCTAAACCTGCGGGGGGAGGACAGACGTGAGCGCCGCCCTCAGGGGCACGGACGCTGAACGCCACACGGGACTGCGCACACGGCGGGAGCACACCCAGCGAGGGGGGGACACACGGGGTGCGGTCGGAGTCACAGCACCAGGGGGGGACCGTGTGGACGGGGAGCACACACGTGACGCCTCTCCCACCAGCGGAGGGAAAGGGCTGCCAGAAGCCGCCCTCACGGGTGTCCGCAGCCTGTGGGTGCGGGGCAGGCAGGCCCGAGGGCCACGTGTGGGAGGCGGCCCCGGGGTGAGCAGGCGAACGTGTATGTGTGTGTGTGTGTGTGTGTGTGTGTGTGTGTGTGTGTGGTGATGATGCTTATGGAACAGTGAGCGGCACCTCAGAGCCCAGATCGCATGGACGCTGCTGCCCAGGCAAAGCAGGGATGTGAGAAAAATGAGATATGACTGGGACATGTGGTTCTGATGAGAGAAACACCGAGACTCTGGAGAGTAAAAAACTGACTGACGGTGACAGCCTGGCGGAGTGATCACTTCATGAGTAACAGCGAATGCAGCCTGGCCCTGGACAGTGTGGCTCAGTGGTTGAGCGCCAACCTATGAACCAGGAAGTCATGATTCGATTCCCAGTGAGGATACCTTCCCTGGGTTGCAGGCTCCATCCCCAGTAGGGGGCGTGCAGGAGGCAGCCGGTCCATGATTCTCTCTCATCATGGATGTTCTTTCTCCCTCTCCCTACCTCTCTGAAATCAATAAAAATGTTAAAAAAACAAAACAAAACAAAAAACCTGAGTGTAGACCAGAAGGCCTTTTGAAAACAGCCGGCTACTGGTCACTGGCCCATGAGAGTGAGCCATCGATGCCCAGAAGATAAAGGTGGGCCTCACGGGCCATTTCCCACAAGGTCTGCGGCCTCCTCCTCAGCAGACGCGGCTGAGCCGTCCACCTGGCTGGCCCGAGGACCGCCCACCCCCTTCCTGCACTCCCGCCTCCCGCCTCGTGGTCCTGGCCTTGGTAAGTGACCCCACGCTAAGCCATGCTCCCGGCACAGGGGTAGGAGGAGCCATGGAGAAACTCCCGCTGCAGATGCACCGCGCTTAGTTCTGTCTGCTCGCCTGTTTGCTGTGTGTGTGTGCGTGTGTGTGTGCGTGTGTGTGTCTGTGCACTGTGGCCCATGAGGCTCAGTGTGAGCCCATCTGGGTGACTGACTGGCCTCTTCCGTGGCTACTCGACCCTGCAACCACGTCCCAGCAGGAATGCGTGGTCCTTCCTCCCTCCCGGCTAAGACCTCTTCCTGAAACAGGTGCGTGAGGGGCTGAGGAGGCACAGATTCACCCTGGCCACGTGTGAGCTCTTTCCAGAGGGTCATCAGGGCAACAAGCCGGCCACAGCACAGCAGCCACACGGCACTGTCACGTGTCTCCCCCCGCCCCGCCTCCCTCAGGTAAGCAGGCCAGCCACGTGCCACTTCCGGCCAAGGGGACATGGAGGGAATCAACACACAGGTCCCCTCCTTCACTTTTCCTTAAAAAAAAAAAAAAAGGTCAGATCAGCCTGATCTAGGAACCAGGAGGTCAGGGTTCGGTTCCCAGTCTGCAGGAGACAGCCGATTGATGATGTTCCTGTCTCATGGATGTTTCTCTCTCTCCCGCTTCCTTCCTTCCTCTCCCTATAAATCAATTAAAAATAGTTTTTAAAAAGCCAGATCAAATAGCTTCCTGAGGTCAGCTTGGCAAAACAGCGGTTTAGAAAGCTGGCGTGGAGACGGAGAACACCGTTAGTGTCATTGGTGGGGGTGTCAGTAGGCGTGATTACTGACCCGTCACTTAAAGGACCTTCCTTACTGGCACGGACAAGGTGGTTTTAGAGCAGAAACAGAAGAGACAGAGAGAGTCGTCAGTGGCAGAGCCGACGGCCGGGCCTCCGAGGCGGGCCATCGGGCACCTCGGAGGCCGCGCCCGACACCCGCTGCCGGGACACGCAGGCGGCGGCCATGCAGCCCGAGCGGGCAGGGGGACGGCAGCCCAGCGGCAGCCACAGCAGCACACGGCCCCGCGGCCAGCGCACACGTCAGAAACACGCAGTGCCTACAAGGGACACGAGTCCTCGCGCGGGCTGCAGGGTGGGGTCGTCTAGGATCAGTCCGGCCGCTACCATGGGCATTACGGCTGTAAAGAGCCTGCTCGGAGAAGGACAGACAGACAGACAGTGAAAGGGGCGCCGCGGAGGGCCCGGGCGGAGAGGAGGCTGTGCCCTCGTGTGATGGCGTCCTGCCCGGGGCCTCCGAAGGTGCCTTGCAGGGGCAGGGCCTTTGCCGATGTAACTGGTTAGGATGAGGTCACGGTGGAGCAGGTGGAGGCGGACATGCACACAGGGAGGAAGGCCACGTGGGGATGAAGGGGGAGGGCTGGTGAAGGTTCTAGAAGCCAACGAAGGCCAACACCAGAGCCAGGCGAGAACCGGGCAGGTGACAGCCACTGGGGAGGACAGGAGCAGGGAGGCCTGGGGGGTGGCAGCCGACAGGAGGGCGTCGGCTCTTGGCTGGGCTGGGACAGCCAGGGAGTGCCAGACAAACGCCTGCCATGCACCGTGAACGGCTCGGCTTTCTTTTTCCTTTCTTTTCAGTTTTTGGGAGGTTGGTGGGAAAGACAAACTACTGTCTCAGGCGAGGCTGGGATTCAGTGTGTGGTCGCCTCCGACGCGCCCAAGTGGCTGGCATCCGGGCAGGACCAGCTGACGGTGCTCACGTGACGAGAAGGGGATGCTGTCAGCTTTCCAGGGGCTCCAAGCCACAGGGTCCCGCTCCCCCTGCGCCAGGACCCTCTCAATGACTGGGAGCCCCCAAAGACAGTCTGTGGGGGTGGCCCTAGACGTGGCCGGGCCTTGTGCCTGCACACGCACTGGCCAGACGGATGGGCAGGGCCCCGGGACTGGCCTGGGCGGCCCCTGATACACGGCCCTGCCCTCCCGGGAGGCGCCTCCCTGCAGAGGCACCTGCTCTCCCCCAACGCCCCAGAGGCGGCCAGTTAGCTCTGAGGCAGGTCACGTGGCTGGGAGGCTATTTCTAGGCTGGAGCGGGGGGTGGGGGAGGACGGGGACAGCATGCCCGCTGCCCCACCGCTGGACCTGGGTGGCCGCTGTCTGACCGCCGCCTCCGGCCAGCCCCGCCGCCCGCTCCGCGGGAGCAGCTGCTGGGCCCCTGGGCCCCCGAGCGGAGCGGAGGCCACACAAAGGGGCACCGGTGCCTGGCGTCCGCTGGGGACGAGCCGAGTCACTCGCACGCCCGCGTGACCTGCCGGGCAGTGCCAGCGCCTGGGCCAGCAGCTGCGGGTCACAAGCTATTCTTGGGCCGTCTCCTGGGCACATTGTTTTGACTGGCAGCGGGTTTCTGGTTCCCTCGGGCGGTCCAGCCCAGAAACGCAGGCTCCGGTGCCTCCGGCTGTGGGCACGGGAGAGGTAAGGGAACTAGCTGGGCAGCCGCCCGCAGCTGGCGACAAGGAGTGGGGGGAGGAGTAGGGGCGGGAGGAGGCGGGACAGCCCGGTGGCAGACACACAGCCTGGGTTAAGTCCTGGCTCCCAGGAAATGGGGCGGACTGTCCCAGCCCGGAGCCTACCCTGACTCGGTGGGGGGGGGTGAGGGGGGAGAGAGACAACTTTGCTAAGTGCTCCGAGCTGGTTTGTAAACATCATCACATTCTCCAAGGGTCTTTGATGCAAAAAAACACTGAGGTGGGCCTGGCCGGGTGGCTCAGGAGTGAGCACTGACCTGGGAGCCAGGAGGTCCGGGTTCGGTTCCCGGTCAGGGCCCAGGCCCGGGTTGTGGGCTCCATCCCCAGTGGGGGGCGTGCAGGAGGCAGCCGATCCCTGATCCTCTCTCATCACAGATGTTTCTCTCTCTCCCTCTCCCTTTCTCTCTGAAGTCAATAAAAACATTAAAAACAACAGCTCTGCAGGGACAGGCTGCTCTTTCCTGGTGCCCCAACAGCGCCCCTCACTCCGCATTACGTGTCCTTAACTCATCAGTAGGGTATCAAACCAGTAACTGATCAGCGGAAGTATCAAACCAGTAACTGATCAGTAGAGCTATCAAACCAGTAACTGATCAGCGGAGGTATCAGTGGAGGTGTGGAGGGACAGGTGGGGGGTCACCGGAGCATGCAGAGATGAGGGGCGGACCGGGCCCCATTCCTGACCTCGGAGCTGGGGTTCCAAGCCCTTAAGCAGCACAAGATTCCCCCCTCCCGCCCGCCCCAGCCTCAAAGACCCCCCACCAGACCCACTCAAGCAAGCCCTCCCCACACCTCTGCCCGGGGCGCCCGGCCCCACACAGGGGGCCTTGAGCCTAGGGCGGCCCCCGCGCCCGGTTAGGCCTGTCTGCAGGAGCTGTTAGTGACGAGCCGGGCCCGGGCAGGGCCGGGAGGAGGGCCGCCAGCGAGCAGCGTGGCCGGAAGCCGGGCACTTACAGTCGCTTGATGCCGGACTCGGGCTGGGGGGACGTTCGTGGGTGGACGACGGGCGGGGGCTGCAGTATCCGGTTCTCCTCTTCCATCTCTTCACTGGGAGGGTGAGAGGAGGGAAGCAAGAGTCAAAAACCCCAGGAGAGCTGGAATGTTCCAGAAGGGTCCTGTCTGATGGCCTGGTGCCAGTGGCCTCCCCGCCTGGGGGGCTGCCCCTCGGGAGGGGCATGGCAGTGGGCAGGGAGGCCCCACCCTGCAGGCGGCAGGCTCGGAGGCCTGGGACCCTCTGGCTTTGGGACCACGTGTGTTTATTTACAGATTGCACAGAGCAAGAGACACGTTCTGTATATAAGAAAGGTTAAAACGGAGTCACTTGGAGTCTGGAACGAATTAATTTACATGATTTCTAACGGGAAAAAACGAGTCGGTTTTCCACCAGCCCCCGGAACCAATGAAGTTCCAGAAATGAGGTTCCACTGTACTTCCTGTTTCCTGTCCCTGCAAATGCTGGTCTCCACGCCTTTGCGGTTTCTCCCTTCCCCACCCATAGCCTCCCCCATCACCCCCCATCCTGAACGGTACCCTCTCCTTTGGGGCAGCCCCGTCCAATGCCACCTCCTCCGGGAAGCCTTCCGGGAGTGAGACGGGGGCTGGTAAGTGCTTGGGCCAGAGGCCCCAGGACAGACGCAGATGCTGCCCTTGTCCTCCAGGCGCTCCGTCCCCCGGCCCAGCCTGACCCCGGGGCCGCGGGGCTCCGGGCGCTGGCTCTGGGTGCTGGCTCTGGGCACTGGGCTCCGGGCACTGGCTCTGGGCACTGGGCTCCGGGCACTGGCTCTGGGTGCTGGCTCTGGGCACTGGGCTCCGGGCGCGGGCTCCGGGCACTGGGCTCCGGGCGCGGGCTCCGGGCACTGGGCTCCGGGCGCGGGCTCCGGGCACTGGCTCCGGGCGCGGGCTCCGGGCACTGGGCTCCGGGCGCGGGCTCCGGGCACTGGGCTCCGGGCGCGGGCTCCGGGCACTGGCTCCGGGCGCGGGCTCCGGCGCTCACCTCTTGTAGTACGCCAGCTCCTCCTGCAGCAGGAACACCTTGGACTTGAGCTCGTTCCTCTCGTGCAGCACGTCCCGCAGCTCCTGCAGCGTGAAGCGCGGGCGGTTGGGGTCCTGGGGGTCCATGGCCGCCTGCTCGGCCTCGGAGACGCTCTCCTCCGCGGGCTCCGCCTGGAGGCACAGAGGCTGCTGGTGAGCCCGGGCGGCACCTGTCCCGCCGCACGGCCCCCTCCGGCCCCGCAGCCGCCCGGGCGCTATTTCAGGAACCGTGGCCTCCGCTCCCGTCGCGTGACGTCCTCTGGGGACGAGAGCCGGCGGCCACCTGTCCATTGTCTGCCGTCCCCGCCGCCCCACCTGAGCGGGGATTCGTTACCAGGTGCATTCAGAGGCGGCCAAGAGCAGAACCCCACACCCACGCCGCCACCCTCCACCCCGCCTGTCCCCTCTCCCGGGTCTCACTAGGCCCTGCGATGGCCAGCTGCGGGGGCAGCGCCCGTGCCTAATCCCTCCGCCTCCCCCCTCTGTGACCGGCCTTCCGGTCCAGCCCTTTCTCCCGTGGCCGTGGGCAGTTCCCGGGGTTCAGTGGAAGCCCAGCTCAGAGGAATGGGGGGAGGCGGGTGTCACACAGACGGATCCTAGCATGCTAAGTCCCAGGCCACATCCAAGCCTGGTCCGTCCACCCTCTGCCAGAAAAGGAGCTTTAAACAAGTGATGGGAAGCCCGCTGACATGGCTCAGGGGTTGCATTCCTGGTCTGGGCACAGGCCCGGATTCGGCTCCATCCCTAGGGGGGGCAGGTGGTGACGGAGGCAGCCGATCCATGATTCTCATCATTGATGTTTCTCTCTCTCTCATTTCCTCTCTGAAATCATTAAAGTAATTTAAAAAAAGAAAGAGGAGGAAAAGCTCAGGACGAGAGGGAAGGTTCCAGAACAGGAGAATGAGATTGAAATAAAGGCCCTCCCCACCCCCAAACCACCCGGCAGCACCGGCCACGGGGACGCCGGCCTGGCGGGGGACTCGGGGGGGATGCTGGGCCCAGAGCCCTCCCGGGAGCCGGCCAGGCTGTCCCGGGAAAGGACACCGGAGAGGAGACGCCCCCTCGGGCAGGGCAGGTGACACAGGCCACTGGGCGGGCGGGGGAGGGGTGTGACCCGGAGTCAGCAAGCAGCACGGAGGCAGGGGCAGCAGGAAGCCAAACCTGACCCCCCCACCAGCGGGGATCGCAGTTGGCCCTGGGACCGTGGAGGAGGCTCGGTTATCTCGGCTTGTCCACTGGTCCCCCGAGGCCTCTGGGCACGGCCCGAGGGAGACGCCCAGGCCCAGCTGCTCCCCGGGGAGGCCGGGAGCCCGGCAGACAAGCACGGGGCTGTCCGAGAGGCGTCAGGGAGGTCCCGTCTCCCTCCGGGCCCCCACCCCCAGGCCTGGCCCCCTCGCACGCTCCCTGCTGCCCGCACGTCACGGCCACTTCCCGTGCCCCCGGCCTCACCTCGGGCTCCTCCTCGCCGTTCTGGCTGGGGCCGCCCCGCAGCCGCTCCCGCAGCCGCCCCAGCTCGGCCCGCAGGCTGCCCAGCTCCTGCTCCCTGGTCTGCAGGTCGGCCTCCAGCTCCACCTTCTGCTCGATGAGCGCCTTGCCCTGCGCCTCCACCACCGTCACACGGTGCCGCAGGTCGTGGTTGATCTTCATCAGCCGCGTCTGCTGCTGCTGCAGCTGCGGGCGGAGAGGCCGCTGACGGCGCCCGCACGGCAAACCGCCCACGTCCTCCTGGTCTGACCGTGTCCGCACAGCCGATGCCGGGGATGGCGGCGTGTGCATGTAGTCACGCGGTGACTCATGGCAGACGGTGTGGGAGGCAGCAGGCAGGCCCCCGGTGGGGCAGGGTCCCTCCCGCTGTTCCAGAGCTGGGCAGCCAGGCCTCAGGCAGGACCGGCACCCCGGAGCCCCCGGGATGAGACCGGGGAGACGGGGACTGCTGGCCGGGAGGAGGGATGCAGGGGGCGGGTAAGGGCGGACCGGGTCACTCACGGCCTCCACGTCCTCGCTCTTCAGGCCCAGCTCCCGGTCCTTGGCGCGGATCTCGTCCCGCTGCTTGTCCACCACCTCCTTCAGCTTCTTCATCACCTGCCGCTCCCGCTCCGACATGCCTGGGGGGAGACGGCCGGTGAGCCCTGCCCTGCCCGCTCGCCCCCCCCCCCCCCCCCGGCCACGTCCCCCCCACCTTCCTGCTTCTGGAACTCCTCCTCGGAGAAGCCGGCGTCCTTGTGGGAGAGGTTGGTGAGCAGCTGCTTGTTCTCCTGCTGCAGCTGCGCGATCTGGGACAGCAGGTCCTGCGCCTCCCCTCGCCACACGTCCTCCGCCAGCTCCAGCTCCTGCGGGGCGGGGGCGTCACGGCCTGCGGGGCTGGGGCTCCGCGTCCCCACAGCCGCGGGGCCCGTGTGGACGTGCCCGGGTGAGACCAGCCGCGGTCAGCCACGGAGCCCGCACCCCTGACCTCTGGACAGACCCTCCGTCAGGACAGACTCCTCTCCAGGGCGGGGCTGTGAAGACCCGGGGCTGCCCCTGGCCCCAGGGGTCCCCGTACGTCCCACACGCCATCTCCCCGAACGCCCTGGCCGGGTTCCTTACTGTCCGGGCCTCCCGTTCCCTCAGCTGAGGAGCCCTGACTCTCTTCGCTGTGAGAAAGAACGGAGCACCCACACCTGCCACAGCGAGGATGAGCCTGGCCGGTGCGGCTCAGTGGGCAGAGCGTCGCCTTCGCACTGAAGGGCACGTGCCCGGGTTTCGAGCTGGGTCCTCAGTGGGGGGCATGCAGGAGGCAGCCGATCCCTGACGCTCTCTCATCGTGGATGTGTCTCTCTCTCTCTCTCTCCCTTGCTCTCTGAAATCAGTAAAAATATATTTGAAAGATAAACATCACACTAACACAAAAACCACACTCAGTAAGAGCAGCCAGCAAGCACCAAGACCCACATATCGAGGGCCCGCTCGTGGGAATGTGCTAAACCCACAGGCAGAGCCTGGCTGCTGTCCAGGGCGGAGGGCGGGCGGGGAGTGGGGGGGCAGTGACTATTAAGGAACACGGGTGTGTTTTTAGAGAGCGAGGGAGGGAGAGAGAGGAGAGTCCCTTCTACAGCCCCCGCCTCAGGGATGCAGCCCACCACTGGGGCACGTGCCCGGACTGGGACTCGAACCAGCAACCGTTCGGTGCAGGGATGACGCCCACCCACCGTGCCCCCGGCCAGGGCACGCGGGCTTTCTTTTCTGAGCGAAGAAAACGTTCTAAAACGGACCGCAGTGACGGCTGCCCAGCTCTGCGGAGTGACTGAAAACATGGGACTGAAGCTTTAAGGGGTACGTTGCATAATATGCAAATTATATTCAATAAAGCTGTTACCCAAAACCTGGCCTTCTGCATTTTGTAAAACTACGAACTAAGCCGATGCCCGCACAGATGGCTGGGTTAAAGCGGACACCCGGGCCTGGACCCGAATTGTTCCCGCCGGGTCCCAGCTGGTCCGGGACAAGGTACTTGACCTCTGGGAGCCGGGCCCGGGGCAATAGTGTAATCTGTCCCCCAGAGCCCCCGGGGGTGCCAGCCGCGGCCAGCTGGCCCAGGGCCGGATGGCAGTCCGCCCCCGCTCCTCTCCGGAAGAAGCCCCTGAACCCGCTCCCTTCCTGTAGGAATCGGGGGGCGGTAACTAAGAGCTTGCACAGCTGGCTCACGGTCACCAGAGCGGTGAAGGGCAGGGCCCAGGCCCTGGTTGCGGACTCGATCCCCCGTCGGGACCGTGCAGGAGGCAGCCAGTCCATGATTCTCTCTCATCATGGATGTTTCTCTCTCTCTCCCTCTCCCTCTCTGAAATAAAAACATTTTTGTAAAAAGGTATGTTGTTAAAATTAGCCACATCTGTGTCTCCTCATTAACGTTAGGGACTGCGCAGGGCGTACGGACACGGGTGCTAGGACCCTGGGTGACCTTGCTCCCTGTTAAGAGGCATGAGGGGTCGGGCCAGTGTGGCTCAATGGTTGAGGAACCAGGAGGTCAGAGTTCAATTCCCGGTGAGGGCACGTGTCTGGGTTGCAGGCTCCAATTCCAGTAGAGGGTGTGCAGGAGGCAGCTGGTCCGTGATTCATTCTCATCATTGATATTTCTCTCTTTCTCCCTCTCCCTTCCTCTCTGAAGTCAATACATTAAAAAAAAAAAGAGCCATGACAGGATGTCAAAGACCCTTCCCTCACAGAGATGGAGCCCTCTGGGGCAGGAGTAGGGGTGCCTGGGATGGAGGTGGGGTCCCCGATGCCAGGGAAAACCTCTCCGGCCCAAAGACAAGGTAACAGACCAGGCCCTCGCGATGAGCTGGGTTCTGTTTCATACACGTGAACTCCCGCAGTCCTCACCACAACCCTACCGGCCGGGGGCAGCTGTCCCATTTCACAGCTGCGAACACTGAGGCCCAGAGGCGAGGTGACCTGCCCAAGGTCACACAGCCCGGGAGGGGGAGGGCTGGAAGCCAGGCTGCTGGCTCCAACATGCCTGCCCGGGGAACCGCGACGTGAGTGCAGCCTGGGTGCTGTGGGGCTGGCAGGGTGACCCGGGAGGTGTTGCCTGACTCCTGGGAGCTTGGGTTTCCTGCCTCACCCCAGGGCACCGGGACCTTTGAGGACAGGCCCAGCCCCACCTCCCACACAGGTGCTCTCCGCCATCTGCCCTCAGGTGAAGACTGCAGACTCCGTGGGGCTATTTTCTCAGACTTCAAAGTACCTACTAGGCCAGCGGTTGGCAAACCGAGGCTCAAGAGCCACATGCGGCTCTTTGGCCCCTTGAGTGTGGCTCTTCCACAGAATACCACGGCCTGGGCGAGTTTCTATGTTGAAGAAGTGGTGTTAGAAGAAGTTTAAGCTTAAAAAATGTGGCTCTCTAAAGGAATTAAAAAATTTTTTAAAAATATATTTTATTGAGTTTTTACAGAGAGGAAGAGAGAGGGATAGAAAGCTAGAAACATCTATCAGCTGCCTCCTGCACACCTCCCCAATAGGAATGTGCCTGCAACCAAGGTAAAGTACATGCCCTTGACCGGAATCGAACCTGGGACCTTTCAGTCCGCAGGCCGACACTCTATCCACTGAGCCACACCGGCTTCGGCAGGAATCTAAATTGTCGTCCTGTGGATATTTGGCTCTGTGGACTAACGAGGAGTTTGCGGACCACGGGCCCTGGCCAGGGGGAGGCCTGCGGGAGGCTCAGAGAGGCGCAGTGCATTTCCTGAGGCCACACAGCACACAGAGCGGTCAGACACCGGGGCCCAGGAAAGGCAGTTCCTCCATTCCCAGCCGGAAGGAAGGTGTCTGGCAGGAGCTTCCGGGAGCCGAGGTCCGGACAGGAAACCGGCTCCCCCTTCCTCTCCTCCAGGCACCTGGGCTGGGCCCCTGAGCCCGTGGGAATCCCTGTTCACCGGGCGGCGGCTCAGCTTTACATCCGCCCCAAATCACTGCCTCCCCCATAATGTACTTTTAAAAACACATTTCTATGGATGTCAGAGAGGAAGAGAGAGGGAGAGGGAGAGAAACATCCATGATGGGAGGGAATCACGGACCGGCTGCCTCCTGCACGCCCCCCACTGGGGATGGAGCCCGCCACCCGGGCCTGTGCCCTGACCGGGAATCGAACCCTGACCTCCTGGTTCCTAGGTCGACACTCAATCCCTGAGCCACGCCAGTGGGCATCCTCCCCCTCCAATTTAAACAACGAGAGAGCCACTAGCATTCTCCTTCCGGGACCGGGCTCTCTGAGCACCAGCGTGGGCCAAGTCCTCTCCCCCCACCCCCTCCACCCCTTCAGTTTTTCCATCTGTGAAATGGAGATCGTTCCTGCCTCACAGGGTCCTGTGAGAACGGAAGATAAAACCAAGGAGGAGAAAGCACGGCAGAGCACAGGTTAATCACCAGGAGGAAGCCTGGGGAGCAATTTGCAAATAGGAGGGGGTTTTAGGGGGACAGGGGCTGGAAGTCACCCCCTGTGCTCCCTGGGGGCCCTGAGGCAGGAGGAATTAAAGGGGCCTGTGTCTCCCCCTCCTGGGTGGCAGGAAGCGGGTTCCCCTTGTGAAAAGACGAATGTTATCTGAGCAGCTGAGATGTATCCGCTGTGAGTCTCCTTATAAGTCGGGTCCTGTTACTGTCACCGTTTGACATGCGAGATGCGAGGAAAGAAAGCCCAGAGAGAGAGAGAGATTGGGCACCTCACCTGAGGTCACCAACCTGGCACCCGGGGAAGGCGGGATCGGAACTCAGGTCCGAATCAAAGCGCTGCCCTGAGTCCGGGGTAGCGCCGGATAGGGGGCCTCCCTCCCTCCGCCGGCCACCCAGGGGCTCTGCTCCCCTCGGTCCCCGCACCCGGGCACCCACGTGCGCGCCCCGCGCCCGCCCGGAGGGGCGCCCGGGCCGAGCCCACCTTCCGGTGCTCGCGCTCCTTCTCGATGCGGTCCATCCGCTCCAGGCGCAGGCGGTCCAGCTCCAGGCGCAGCTCGTCCAGCTCGGGCGCGACGTGGTGGCGGCTGACCAGCACCTCCAGGATCTCCAGGACGCGCACGACCTTGGGCATGAGGCGCGCGATGGCCTCGCAGCCGTGCTGGTCGATGACCCGCTCGAACTCGTGGCCCACCAGCGCCGCGATGTCGTACACGTCCATGGCGGTCAGCTCGGCCACGTTCTTGTCCAGCGCCGAGGGGGCCGCGCCCGGGCCGCCGTCCTCCTCCATGGCCCGCGGCGCCCCAACTCCCGCAACTGCCCGCGAACTCGCGGCGGCGCGGGCGGCGCCCGGGGACCCCCGGCCCCGGCCCCCGCGCTCAGCGGCACCGGCGGGGCGCGCGGCGGCCGCGGGCCCGGGCGTGGCGGGTCCGGGTCCGGGCCCGGGTCCGGGTCGGTGCTCGGTGCCGGTGCTCGGTCGGTGCCGGTCCGGCGGCCGGATCCGCTCGGCGCGGGGGAGGCGGCGGAGGGCGGGGAGGGCGCGTGCGCAGCCGGCGGCGGCGCCTCCCGAGTTGGGGCCCGAGTTGCGCCGATGGAGGCCGGGGTCCGGCCGGAGGCCCCGCCGCCCTCGGACCGGCTCCCCCGCGCCCGGGCCCGGGAGGAAGGCGGCGCCGCGGCTCCGGGAAACTTTGGCGGCGGCGGCGGGACCCGGGCACCCGCTCCCTCCCTCCCCCGCGGGGATGCCGCGCGCCCCGCCCCGATCCCGCCCGGCGAGGGGCGCGGCCGGCTCCCGCCGCCGGGGGGCGCCCCGGGGCCCCGCGGGCACCGGCCCCGCCTATCCGCCCGCTCGGCGGGCACCCCATCTCCCCCCCCCATCCCCACCCCCGATCCCCGGATCCCCCCGCCGCGCCCCCGCGCACCGCCCCCTCCCGGTCCTGGCCGGTCCTGGCTCCTCCCCGCCCTGTTCCCGGGAAAGGACGGGTCCGAGGCCGGCCGGAGGAGGGGGCGGCGGCGGCAGGGAGGGGGTCGCTGGCCCTGGACGGTGGTCGGGGTTTGGGGGCCCCCCTTTGGGGAGAGATGAGGGGGGTGGACCCATCCTGGGAGGGAGCGAGGCGGACCCGTCTCCCGCCCCCCAGAGCGGGGCGCACGGGCGAGGGTTCCTCTGCCCCCCAAGCTGCCGCACCCGCCGAGCCACGTCCTTGGGCGGCCCGGCTCCCTGGGACTTAGACCCCCCCTTATGGAGGAGTCTCTGGTCCCCGGCCCCTGCCCTTTAGACTCGGCTAAACCCCCTGTCCCTTCCATCAGACATTCCTCCCCTAGATCCCCCCACCAGGAGGGCCCTTCCTGGACCCACATCCCCCCCTCCTTCCCCAGCCCCTGCCTTCTCCCTCAAACTGCCCTTAACCGCCTTGGAGCCAAAAAGCCCACCAACCTGGCTCCATGTGGATTAAACATTTATTTATTTATTTTAATATATTTTATTGTTTTTTGTTTTGTTTCATTTTTTACAGAGAGGAAGGGAGAGGGATAGAGAGTCAGAAACATGGATCAGCTGCTTCCTGCACACCCCCTACTGGGGATGTGCCCACAACCAAGGTACATGCCCCTGACCGGAATCGAACCCGGGACCCTTTAGTACGCAAGCCGACGCTCTATCCACTGGGCCACACCGGTTGGGACTTGATTAAAAATGTAAAAGGCATTTGCTTTTTGAAGGTACCTAAAGCTTATCCTTCCCACGGGCCAGGCCTTACTCTCAGTGCCTGGAAACGTTTCCTCATGTCATCCTTCTCCCGCTGGCTCGGTTCCCCGGTGGCTCTTGGGTTTCCCCAGCGCCCAGAGGGCCTGCCATGGTCCCTCTGCCAGCTCTGGAGGAGGCAGAGGCTGGCTGTGCCTCGTGTGTTTGACACGGAGCTGCACACACGGAAAAAAAAAAAAAGATTGCAAGCCTATTAACCAATGTCATCCCAATAAAAATGAAAACAAAAACAACAACAACAACAAACTCCAGCCTTGACGAAGTGCCTGGGATGAGCACAAGCCTTGCTCCAGCCGTGGGCCGGAGAGGAGAGATGGAAGATGCGGAGCAGGCGGAAGGTGAGTGGGGGCTGGGAACACCCCGCCAGGGGCAGGTCGGAAGAGCTGCCTGCGGGCAGAGGGGGGCCAGTGGGGCTGGCACCGGGCAGAGGGAAGCCGTGATTGTGTGGAAGGAGAAGTGCCCACTTCCTGGAACATCTGGCCGCAGGGCCTGGAGACCGCACTGCGCTCGGGGAGGCCACTTGGGGCCACTTGAGTGTCGCTCTCCTATGCTGCTGCCGTAGACCATGCACGGGCTGAATGTCCGAGTTTCCCCAAACACATAGGCCCCCAATGTAGTGGTATTAAGAGATAGGCCCTCTGCCTGGCCACCTTGGCTCACTGGTTGAACGTCGACCTACCAACCAGGAGGTCCTGGGTTCGATTCCCGGTCAGTGCACAGGCCTGGGTTGCGGGCTCCCTCCCCAGTGAGGGGGCGTGCAGAAGGCAGCCGATCCATGATTCTCTCTCATCCCTGATGTTTCTAGTTTTCCCTCTCTGAAATCAATACAAATATATATATATAATTTTTTTTAAAATCACCCATTGCTTTTGTCTGGGTTCCTTTAAAAAAAAAAATGAGCTAATGCCTTAAAAGAGAGGGTAGTGCCAGGGAGACCAGAGCGAGGGAGAGGGAAGTGAGGCAGAAAAGGAGGAAGAGGGGTATGGCTCAGTCTGGCCGGCTTCGCAAGGACTCCACGCTGGTGGCAGGGTCTGTGGGGCAGGTCTGGGCGGATGTGTGCAGCCAGAGTCTCAGAACTGTCCTGAGCATGGAGGGTGGACGGGACGGAGGGACATGTGGGAGCAGGCGAGCAATTTCTGTCCGCTCCTCTCCTCTCTTTTTTCTTTTTCTTTTCTAAATATGTTTTATTTCAAGAGGAAGGGAGGGGGAGAGAGATAGAAACATCAATGATGAGAATCATTGACTGGCTGCCCCCTGCACTCCCCCCATTGGGAATCGAGCCAGCAACCCGGGCATGTGCCCCCCACCGGAACCAAACCCAGGATCTCTCTCTCTCTCTCTCTCTCTCTCTCTCTCTCTCTCTCTGTTTAATAAGTTTTTATTGCCGGCTGGTGTGATTCAATGATTGAGCTTCGACCTGTGAAGCAGGAGGTCACAGTTAGATTCCCGGTCAGGGCACAGGCCCGGCTGTGAACTCCATCCCCAGTGGGAGGTGTGCAGGTGGCAGCTGGCCCATGATTCTCTCTCATCATTGATGTTTCTCTCTCTCTTCTTCTCCCTTCTTCTCTGGAATCAATAAAAATAAAAAATGAAAGCGTCTAAACCACAAAGGGACCTAAATGATTTTAAAGCACACGTCTGTCTCCCTCTGCCTTCCTCCTGAGACAGTGCGGGGAGACCCCGGGCGCCCAGTCATGACAGTGATGCCGGAAGGAAGACCCAGCGGGAGGCAGGAACGGGCGGAAGAGAGCCCGTGCTCGGTGAGGGTGCTGTGGTCAGCACCGGCTCCTTTCTCACCATTTGACAGAGCAACTACTTTTGTAAGATACACGCTCACAGACGGCTTCTGGCTGTGTCTCTGGCGTGGCCACCCCTGTGCTTTTCAAAAGTTGGAGCTGAGCACTAACCGGTTTGTCTCAGTGGATAGAGCGTTGGTCTGCGGACTGAAAGGTCCCAGGTTCGATTCTGGTCAAGGGCATGTATTATACCTTAGTTGTGGGCACATCCCCAGTGGGGAGTATGTAGGAGGCAGCTGATCTGTTTCTCTCTCATCGATGTTTCTAACTCTCTATCCCTCTCCCTTCCTCTCTGTAAAAAAAATAAAATAAATAAAATACATTTTTTTAAAAATTGGAGCTGAATGTACTTGGGTCCAGCATCGAGGGTCCAGTTTGACTCCGCCCTACCCCTCCCTCTTGCCTTAAGCTAGTGCCATCTGTCATGCATACAAACCGGCTGATCCCTGAAGGCATTTGAATTTTCGTCCCCTGACGTAGAAAATAAAACCCCGCAACAGACAACTCTTTGTCCACCTTCTAAACCCCTGACAGGTGGAGTTTGAATGTTATTTAATTCATTCAGAGATGAAAATGAACATATCTAATTTCTAGATAAAAAGTGTTCTGGGCACTTTTCAATTTATTTTTTATTGATGTCAGGGAGGAAGGGAGAGGGAGAGAGAGAGAAACACCGATGATGAGAGAGACTCAGGGGTGGGCTGCCTCCTGCACGCCCCACTCTGGGGATGGAGCCCGCACCTGTGGGAACCAATCTGTGAGCCGCTGCTTCGTAGGTCGATGCTCAGGCCCCGAGCAAAGCTGGCCGGCTGTTCTGGGCGCTTTTCTGCAGAGTTGGCTCTCTCGGGAAGCAAAAGGCTCATCCATCAGCTTAATTCAATGCAATAGGAAACCTCTTCAGGTATTTGAGGCGGAAAGAGAGTTAATAAGAAACAGCGGCGTGGAGGTGGGTCGGTGAGGCTGGAAGAGCAGGCTCCCGGGTCAGCGAAGCTCCTGCAATGACAGCTCCCCGAGGACCACCACCAAACCGGCCTGCCTGCCGGGGGAAGCCACTGCCGCAGCCCGGACGGTGGGGGATGGGGGGCGGGGCTGGGGGGACACTGCTGGAACTCTTGGCTCCCCTCACACAAGATCATCGCCAGGACAGGCTCATCACTGCTCCCCTGCTCCACACCGGAAGTGGGAAACTGGCCATTGCTGCCCCCTGTTGCCTGATGTCTTTAAGAAACAGTCTCTCAGCCTAAGGGGTGTGGCTCAGTGGATACAGCATCCGCCTGCGGACTGAAGGGGCCCAGGTCAAGGGCATGTACTTTGGTTGCGGGCACATCCCCAGTGGGGGGTGTGCAAGAGGCAGCTGATCGATGTTTTTCTCTCATCGATGTTTCTAACTCTATCCCTCTCACTTCCTCTCTGTAAAAAAAGAAATAAATAAAAAAGGAAACAGCCCCTCAAACAGCTCATGCACACATATGGTGCCATCTGATCCTAACCAGAGAAAGAAGGCATATGGTGTTCTTCCCTCCACAGATAAAGACAGATAAAGACAGTTCTTCCCTTACAGACAAAGACAGCAGTGATGTGACACAGTTAAGGTCGCAAAGCTGGAGCAACAACCTAGACCTCCGCACCCCTGGCCAGTTCGAAGGTTCTAAGAACTCAATTTGTCATGAGCGAGGCCTCCGGGGCCTGAGAGCACCTCATAGGGGGATGGAGATGGGAGAGGGCTCAGGCTGCTAACTGACTGTAACCCGGGAGGCACAGATCCGCATGGTAAGCACAGGGGGAGGGGCCGGTGCCGGGCAGAGGGATTCAGAGGAGAGGAAGTGACGTGTGAGGTGGGCTTTGAGGGATGAATAGGAGCATGTCAGGATGTCGTTTGCTGATTTGTTGATGATAGCCATTCTGACAGGTGTGAGATGGTGAACTCGTTCTTTTTTTGATTTGCATCTCTCGGATGATTAGTGTCTTTGAGCATGTTTTCATATGCCTCCTGGCCTTCTGTAGGTCCTCTTTCGAAAAGTGTCTATTTAGGTGCTTTGCCCATTTTTTGATTGAACTGTTTTTCTTTCTTTTGTTAAGTTGTTTGAGCCGAAACCGGCTTGACTCAGTGGATAGAGCGTCGGTCTGCGCACTGAAGGGTCCCGGGTTCGATTCTGGTCAAGGGCACATACCTTGGTTGTGGGCACATCCCGAGTGGGGGATTTGCAAGGGGCAGATGATCGATGTTTCTCTCTCATCGACATTTCTAACTCTCTATCCTTCTCAATTCCCCTCTGTGTAAAATCAATAAAATATATATTTTTAAAAAGTTGTTTGAGTTTCCTGTAACTGTTGGAGATTAAACCCTTATCTGAGATAGTCCTGGCAAATGTGTCCTTCCATGCAGTCACACCTACTGTTGCCTCCAAGTCTTTCTGAACAACCCAAAGAGGGTACTGCGAGCGGACAGGCGAGGCTGGGGACTATTCGCTTTGTTGCGAGGTCCACGTGAACTCAAGGCTGCGCGCGAATGGGGTAAAGGACGCGGGGCCGGCGATTTTTGGTCCTTCGGAGCCACCGTCCAGGCTCGGGGCCGCCGCCGGCCGCCGTGTCCCTCGCCGGCCGCCGTGCGTCCGTTACGTGGCAGCTGCCGGCGCCGGCCAATCCGCGGCGCCCGCATCAGCCCCCGCGGGCGGCGCAGCCGGAAGGGGCGGAGCTGAGGCGGTGGCGGCCGAGGAGGCAGCGGTGGCGGCGACGGCGGCGGCTCCGGAGGCCGCAGTCCCGGACGTGGCTTCGGGCCCAGCCCCACCATGGTGACGCTCGCGGAGCTGCTGGTGCTCGTGGCCGCGCTGCTGGCCACGGCCTCGGGCTACTTCGTCAGCATCGACGCGCACGCCGAGGAGTGCTTCTTCGAGCGGGTCACCTCGGGCACCAAGATGGGCCTCATCTTCGAGGTGGCGGAGGGCGGCTTCCTGGACATCGACGTGGAGGTGCGGGCGCGCGCGCTGCCCGCGGCCCAGGCGGGGGCGCGCGGCCGCTCGGGGGTTGGGGGCGGCCGGGGCGCGCGCGGGGCGGCGGAGGGCGGGCATGGAGGCCGCCGTCCGGGTCCTGGAGAGGCCGGACCCCGCCGCGGCCGCGCCGGCTCGGCCCTTTCCCCGCCGCCCGCGCGATGCCGGGCCCCGGCGGCCCTGGGATCGGACCGGGGCGCCGTCCGCGGCGCCGGCTGACAGCTGGGACGGCGGGCGCCCGGGGACCTCTCGCCGGGCTTGCCGCCCGCCCCCGGCGGAGGGCGCTTCTCAGCCCGGCGCAGCGGAGGCGGGACTCGGTCCCGGGAGCGGCCCCTTCCGTCCCGACACGGATTCCCGTGGGCACGCGCCGTGGGAACTTCGGGGAAAGCGGATCGGAAGTTACCGCGGGACGCCGGGCGGTTCTTCTTTCCTTTCCCCGGAAACGACCCGCGTGGCTCACCCGCTTTGACCAGTTTTGGGTGGAGAGTGACACATGCTGCCTGGGATGGAGGTGGATGGAGTTGGGCCATGCATTTTAAGAGTAGCGATTGCGGTGGAGTAGCTGGAGGGAACTGGAGATTACTAAGAAACCAGCCCCGAAGTCTGCATACTTTTATTTTAACCCAAAGGAACGATCCCTTTCTTAACTTTTTTATTGGGCGGTGGTCACATGGAATTAATATTTGCATTCACGCGTTGGCATTGATTACTTGGGTGGAAGGATTTCCCGCGCCATGCAAGGGAAGTCCAGGCTTTCGGGATGCTGGAAGGAGTGACCGTGGAAATGACAGGGGTCAGCTGCTGGTTCCCACGGTGGACCGTGGAGGGCTTTGTAGGCAGCACCAGTGAGCGAGGCCAGCCGCCATGGGTAGCTGGTTGGCATGAGAGCGTGGCCTCCTGATTTCCACCCGGTAACACAGATGGCCTTCTCTGGTTGGAAGTAGTTACCAGGAAAACCTGGGAGTGCACCTTGCTCAGAAGTCTTAGTTTTAAAGAGGCTCTTGCTTAAGAAGAAAAAAAAAGTATTTTTTTAAATCGATTTCAGACTAAAGGGGTGGGAGAGAGAGGAAAACATCAATGATGAGAGACAACCGTGGATCGTGGGTCGGCTGCCTCCTGCACGTCCCCCACGGGATCGGCCTGCACCCGGTCAGGGCACGTCGCACTGTGACCTCCTGGCGGTTAGGCTGAGCCGCGCCGTGGCGAGGTTTCTTGCTTTTGGTGAGGGTGCAGTGGCTGTGTGTGCGCGTGGCCGTTGGAGGCATCAGGCCACAGAGACGGTGTGGGAGGTGCGTTTTCCTTTCTGAGGGGCTCGCATTTGGGCTGAAGAAGACGCAGTCGGAGTTGAAAGGTGATTAGAAACCCCGCCTGTTTCCTGGCCGGGAGCTCCCGTCACCTGTGGATGGACTGAGTGAAGGCTGCATTTTGAAATTCCCGTTTCCTCACCAGTGGAAGTCACTGTGATGTTTATATTGAAATCTTCCCTGACGTCTTCATTTCCCTCCTCCTCCAGATCACAGGGCCCGACAACAAAGGAATATATAAAGGAGACCGGGAGTCCAGCGGGAAGTACACGTTTGCTGCTCACATGGACGGAACATACAAGTTTTGCTTTAGCAACAGGATGTCCACCATGACTCCGAAGATAGTGATGTTCACCATTGATATTGGGGAGGCCCCCAAAGGGCAGGACATGGAAACAGAAGGTGAGGTGGACGCTCAGATTCACTCCCATCCGGGAGGGGCGGTTGGTGTTACACTCCGATCCTCTGCTGGAGGGTTTCTTTCGGTTTCTTACTCTGGTCCCATCCACTGTCCTTTTTCCTCCCAACCCCCCTCCCTTGTTTCACTCACTGTCTTTGAAGTCAGGAACCTTTTGTGAAATACACTTTTTATGTCCCCCGAGCCCCTAAGTCACAGAAGTTTCTGGAAATTCACGTTTCCATTCTGGTTCTCCACCGTGGCCCAGCGGCACCTGGGCACGTGGTGCAGTGACACCAGGTCCCTGGGCTCCAACCTGGCACTTCGTCTGTGTTTGCTCGTTTGTGTGTGTGACTAGTTTAGCCGAACATTCTGTTCTCTTTGTGTTCACACTTTAAACTTCTCTCTAGGCGGTGGAGACACCTGGGATGGTACGTGGATTGCTTTTGGACAGCATCCTGCCTTTTGCACATTTTTGCTGGCTGTTACCTAATTTCTGCTCTCCTTTCTAACCTCCGTTTGTTGGCATGAGAGTGTGTTTTGTCTTAATGAAAAAACAGCAACCCTGCATCTCATTAGAGTGGTGGTTTTGGTGGTTTATTTGGTTAACAGGAGGTACAGGTTAGGCCATTTTAAAGTGGTATCCCTGGGAACAGAGCCATTGACATTTCATGCTACCGTTTGTTTCTTTTAAATGCTTGCGAGGGGTGGACTATTCGACTATAACTGGACAAGTAGAAGTCTCAAACACAGTTAATAGCAAGTGGTTCTACTGACTTTGTAGGAAGTATTTTATAGCCTTGTTTTAATGATTACTAAAGCTTTCTAACTGGAAACTTGGTTGGATATACAATACAGTGCTAAGAGCCATGTCTAGATTTTGTGATGAAAGTTCTTTCAACCATACATTGCTGCTAGATCAGTTTTCCTTCCCCAGCTGACCAGCACTGAGCCCTAAGTGGATTCTTCTGGATGAATTGTTTACAGGAGTCAGCACATTAGCATAGGCGTGGGGGGGGAGAGGGAGGCTGTTACCACAGAGCACGGTAGGGATTTGGAAGGGAGCAGGCCAGCACATTTCCTGCTGTTGCCTGATAGCGTTTGTTGTAGGTATTGAGCAGATAGTAGAGGACTTACATCCTAAAGAAGTGTGCGTTAGGTTGTGAAATCTCTGGATTTAGAGACTCATTCTGCTTAGTAATCCTGCGCTTGCTTTTCAGGGACGTTTATAGGGTAGAACTTGGCTGGTTTTCAGGAAGAATTGGGAGTTTCAGGGCTTTGTGTGTGTTTGCTTTCTGGAAGTTAGTCCTTTCTAAGTAGTTAGACATTGTTGGCTGATGAGTGTGAATATTGAATTAGCCTCTAAATAATTCTTAACAGGATATGTAAAGTTCTTGCTTTTGCTTGTTAATGTCAATGAATGGCAGCTGTCAAGTCACGCCTTCCTCTAAAGCAGTGGTTCTCTAGTCAGGATGGTTTTTGCCCCCAAGGGCCACTTGGCACCATCAGGAGACAGTTTTGATTCGGGCTCCTCCCCACAACAAAGGATTACCTTCTCCAAATTGTCAGCAGTGCGGCCGGCCTGCAGAACCCTGCTCCTGGAGGGAAGGGGAGCGAGCGAGGGAGGCTCTGAGTTGCAGCCCAGCCCTTAGAATGGCGGCCCGGGGCTCCCCTCAGGAATGCAGGGTCCCGGGGGGCTTTGGAATTCTCCATGAAGCCCAGCGCGGGCACTGGTAACCAGGCCCTCCAGTGGGAACCTCCTGGTGTGTGCTTTCCTGGTGTTTCCTCGTTGCCATCAGACAGTGCCGCCTGCACGCGTACCGGACACGTGCTCCTCAGAGCTGTGGGCTCCCCTGGTACCCAGTTCTGCCCAACAGCACTGGTGCTGGGCCTCGTGCCGCTGAGCGCTTTCACTGCAGTGCCTGCTGCTCCCACCGAGTGAAGTCGCTGCTTGCCTCACAGCGGATGTTTGAGCGGATGTTTGAGCGGCTGTGCGTTTTCCCAGGAATGTTTTTCTCTGCTCAGCTTCTGAGATTGAGTCTGTTTTGACACTGCTTCTCAATTAACATTTAGAGTTAATATGTAGATTTTAATTTTAGTATAAATATTTATAGAATAGCACTAGGGTGTTACAGGGCCTTCCTTTGATATGTTTTTTTAAAAATATATATTTTATTGAGTTTTTACAGAGAGGAAGAGGGAGGGATAGAAAGTTAGAAACATCGATGAGAGAGAAACATCGACCGGCTGCCTCTTGCACACCCCCTACTAGGGATGTGCCCACAACCAAGGTACATGCCCTTGACCGGAATCGAACCCGGGACCCTTCAGTCCGCAGGTCGACGCTCTATCCACTGAGCCACACCGGTTTCGGCATCGTTTGATATTTTGTGCTCCCCTTCCCTAACTTCCCCTCCTTGGTGAGCAGTCAGCAGAGTGAGCTTCACCAGCAGCAGGTCAATGGAGACATTTCTGAGGTCGTCTTCCTCTAGTTAGGAAGTATTGTATAGTATGTTTTCTACCCTGAAAGATTTTTTTTACCAGGAATGGGATTTTAAAAAATGCGTAGAGAATTAAGTCATAAGGGATCCAAAATGATGTTGGATTCTGAAAATAGCTGCTTTTGTATGTCTTCTCTGAGGAATATTTTGATTGCTTTATGCGTATTTTTCAAAGAGATTCCACACTCATGCTGATTGTTTTCCAACCCTCCTGCAGCTCACCAGAACAAGCTGGAAGAGATGATCAACGAGCTGGCAGTGGCCATGACAGCTGTGAAGCACGAGCAGGAGTACATGGAAGTGCGGGAGAGGATACACAGAGCAAGTAAGTCCGCGGTCACACAGCTGCTGGCCCGCAGCAGGTCCGTACCCCCCCCCACCTCGGGGGCCTCCACTGCCCGAGGCTGGAAGGTCTGCAAACATCATACGGAGCATTGACTTAAAAAGCTCCTGGTCCAGATAGCTTTTGAGTGTCCGTGTTGGTAGAGCTTCGTCCACACCAGCTTACTATAGGGACATTGCTCCCCTGATGACAAGTCTTGTGGGGATCCTTAGAGTTTAGAGAAAGGAAATCACTCGGAAAGGAGATTTGAGTGCTGTGTCTGCCTAGTAATTCTAAAAAGTTAAGGCTATAGAATTTGATCAGAAATTTGAATGTGATATAAATCGAGCAGAATAAAATATATAGTCATGCCTGTTACTTTAAGATTTAAATCCTTAGCTAATGAGCGGGAAAAGGCATGAGACTCGTTCCAGGTTAGTAGTAACTGTCAGTGTTGGTCCAGGAAACAGAAATCTCCCCCACCTAGAACAAATGCCACTACAGTAGGTGCTCAATAAATGTGTGTGTTTGTTTTTTAAAGTGACTTTGATTTAGTAACGGTGATCTTGAAATCTCTTAATTTTGTTAAAAGTCAGTTTTCTGATTAAAAAAAAAGATGATAATGTAGGGACGCTTCCATGTGAGGGAGAAAGAATGTGGTTGGATTTTAACCCTAGAAGTGTAACCTTGGGCCAGCCACTTTCTCTCTCGGTTCCCCATACATAGAAAGCAGATTGTGACTGTACTCTGAATCTTAAAGGTCCATTTAAGTCTAAAATTCTCTGCTCCTGACTGTTGAGTTGCTTGGGGACAGAAGTACTGAGTGCCAGGAATGGTGTGCGATATTACTTCACACGGGGTAAGAGTGGGCTGCTTTTCCAGCTTCTCTGTCACTGTTATTAAATGTCATGTATTTGTTTATCCTCCACAGTCAACGACAACACAAACAGCAGAGTGGTCCTCTGGTCCTTCTTTGAAGCGCTTGTTTTAGTTGCCATGACATTGGGACAGATCTACTACCTGAAGAGATTTTTCGAAGTCCGGAGGGTTGTTTAAAAAGCCTTTTTTTCCTGATGATCCGAAACTCATAATTCACTGTTTACCGAACATCTTGGTCATAATAATGTCATTTAGTTCATACGTTTTTATTTTCTGAATTGTACATTCACAGCCTAGGTTTCTTTGTGATTAATAGCTATTGGGAAAGTGATAGTGAGAATTTGACATTTGATTGGCACAATTTATTTGAATTCTGCCTCATTCTACAGGCCCTTCCAGAGCTTGAACACTGTAAATGAAATGTAGGCATGTAGTCCTCCATACGTCTTCTTTAGTTTCCAAACTAAAATGCAGTTTGTTCAGGACAGCACTTCACTAAAATGACTGCAATCTTTTGGCCCCTTATCTTGCAGTTCAAGTCATTAAAGATTCATTTTGTTTAGTTCTTATGAGAAACAACAGTCTGAATTGGCATTTTCTACCTACCTAATGGCAGAGCGCTGTGCTACCAGGTTGGTCCTTTTACACTAGATAATCTCCCCCCCCCCCCCTTTTCACTTTGATCTTCAGGACTTCACCTTTACACATTGATGACACAGCAGCTAATTATCCTGTTTTGATTTCTGCCTAACCTTGTAAGAAGTCTCTACTAGAGCCAGCTCTCTGGGTGTTTCAGCTGAGGGTAGCCCTTGTACTTTCTGTGCTGGCGCACACTCCACTCTTGGCGTGTGGGAGCTCTGCATCCACGGAATTGGGGAAACCTGGGTTTCTCGCGCACATGGGTAAGCCTCTGGGTTTCGTTGCAGTGAGTGAGTGAGTGAGACAGCCACTGTTTAGTTCTGATCAGCGGCGTTTGGCCACTTGTTAATGAGGGCACTGACAGCACTGTCAGCGCCAGGGTTTCTGGTTTTGTTTTTTGGGGTCTTTTTTGGCACATGTGGATTTTATTTGTATAAAACAAGATGACTTCCTCTTGGTCTCTGATGATGTGTTTAAAATTGAAGGAGCATCAGGTTTGGTGTGGGGATGATCCAAGATTATGTTGTAAACTGATGTATTTTAGTTACTTGTACGTTTTTTTTGATCTTTGCAAAGGTAAAACTACAAGTAACGAGTTTTATATAATTAATTTAAATTTGTTACAGGTTTTCATGTTCAGGATAAACACTTTTTCAACCTTGGGTGACGATACTTGCAGCAGCTTAAGGTGACTGTTCCACCTTAGGACACTGTTGCATGCCAGTTTCTCTGCGTGTGTGAGAAAACACTTCAAAATGGAATTAAAATATGTAAATTTAAAATTGGTTGTGTATCGAATCTGGCCCAGGTTCAGTAAATAAACAATTCTTTTTAAAAACAGTCTTTGTATTCTGTTTTATATATTACACTTGATCTTAGCCAAAAGGCTGAGAAGCAATTATATTGTTTTATATATTAACTCACATTTATTATATTCCAGTATTTGAAATGAGACATGTCCCTTTTTTCTGAGCGTTCCTTTTTATATCCGTAACTAGATGATAGTGAAAAGGAGCCCAATTTTAGGTTTCCCTGTGTGGTTTCTTTCATGGGTCAATGTTAACATCTTTGCTCTTTTTTCATGTGGAAAAAGTAGTTTTGGGTGATTTCTTATTCATCCACCTATTGGTTTACGCATGTGGGGAATAAGTTGGAGAGAGATTTGCTGAAGGCTCCCAGGTGAAGAGACCAGGAACGATTCCTCCCTCCCTGACACCAGGACGGCCGGCGACACACAAGGCCGGCCCTCCCTGAGCCCCTGGCAGGAAGCTAAACACCACACCGTCTGTCTCATTCAGTCCTCAAACCGCCATTCATTGGGCGATATTCTTATTTTGGAAGTAAACAGGCGTGGAGAAGGTCCAGAAGGTAGTAAGTAGAGCCCCAAACGCAGGCTTTGTTTTCAGCGCTCTCTGCAAGTCCTGTCTACGAAAGTGGTGGGCGGTGTTTTGAGGTGAACAAGTTTCAGTGGAAATGTTACCTTGGGCTTTTATTTTCCTCTTCCTTTAAGATATTTATTCATCCCAGAATATTGACTGTGTACTTACTGCCAGTGTAGCCACTGGGGTACAGAGGAAAATCCCCCATTCTGGAGGGGCAGATGAAGCAAGTGCTGTGGGTGGGGTTGTGGGGGAAGGAAGGCTCGCTGAGAGGGAATTGGGAACCGGGGTGGAGGGAGGGAGGAAGCCGGCGCTAACTGGGAAGGGTGCTCACCGAGCCCAGCACTGAAGCTCGCTGAGTGCCCACGGCGCCAGCGAATGATGACGGGAGCGACAGGGTTCTAGTTAGGACTCCGATCGCAACTTCCTAGGAAGCACACAACATCTGTTACGTACCGGGCCCCGGACCCCGCCATCAGCCCTCTTGCGTTGCTGTTAGCCCGGAGCTCGGCCGGGGTCCGTCCTGCCCGCTGTCCTCGGCCAGCACGCGGTCTGTGCCACCATCTGCCTCCGACGGCGGAGGGCGTGAGACGGGCACATCCCTCCCGCCGAACCGCCGCCCGAGTGGCCGAGCCCCGGCGGCCGCGCTGGACGCCGGCCGGTGGCCCCGCATCCTCCGGCCCCGCCGCCGCTCTCACTCCCCTAACCGGCTTCCCAGGCGCCCGGAACTCAGCAGCCCGGGCCCGGTTCCCCGCCGGACCGGTAGGCGGCCGGAAGCGGAAGTGCTCGCCGCCGGGGTTCCGGAGGCGTCCGGGGGCGGCGGCTGCGGGGCTCGCTATGGAGCACGTGACGGAGGGGTCCTGGGAGTCGCTGCCGGTGCCGCTGCACCCCCGGGTGCTGGGCGCGCTGCGCGAGCTGGGCTTCCCCTACATGACGCCGGTGCAGGTACCGCCAGGGGGTGGGGAAGGCACCCGCCGGAGGGACACGCCGGCCGTGCAGCCGCGTCCTCCGACCGGCGCTCTCGTCTCTCCGCAGTCCGCCGCCATCCCGCTGTTCCTGAGGAACAAGGACGTCGCTGCCGAGGCGGTGAGTCCGCGTGCGGGCTGCCCTCCGGGTTCCCTCCGCCAGGAACCGCGGGCGCCCGCCCACCACACCCTGTCCCCCCGCAGGTCACGGGCAGCGGGAAGACCCTCGCTTTCGTCATCCCCATCCTGGAGATCCTCCTGCGGAGGGAGGAGAAGCTGAAGAGGCATCAGGTGAGGCGAGCCCCGGGCTGTTCCCAGTGGCTGGGAGGCTGGGCAGATGCTTAAAGAGCAAAGGGGGCCCTGACCGGTGTGGCTCAGTGGATGGAGCGTCAGCCTGCGGACTGAAGGGTCCCGGGTTCGATTCCAGTCAAGGACATGTGCCTTGGTTGTGGGCACATCCCCAGTTGGGGGTGTGCAGGAGGCAGCTGACCGACGTTTCTCTCATCGATGTTTCTAGCTCTCTATTCCTCTTCCTTCCTCTCTGTAAAAACTCAATAAGATAGATGGGGGAAAAAATAGCAGACAAGCACAGGGACCCGGCTGCTGGGCGAGCCCAGGCCGAGAGATGGAGGGTCCGGGTGCCTGTGCTCAGCCTGCAGGCCCCCTGCGCTGCTCATGGCATCCATCCCTCTACTCCCTGTCACCCCCTCCCCGTGGGCAGGTGGGAGCCATCATCATCACGCCCACTCGAGAGCTGGCTGTGCAGATAGACGAGGTTCTGGCGCACTTCACCAAGCCCTTCCCGCAGTTCAGGTAAAGGGGGTGCCGGGCCCCGCCGGGCTGTGCCTGGCCTGCTCTGGACCCGTTTCCTGTTTCAGCCAGATCCTCTGGATCGGAGGCAGGAATCCCGGGGAAGATGTCTCGAGGTTTAAGGAACACGGGTGAGTGTGATCGCGACTGCTCGGCTCTGCTTGCTCTGGGCGCTGAACCCAGGCGGAATGGGTGATCCTCTCAGCTTAACCCGGAACGCCCCTCAGGCACCGCCCTCCCAGCCCGCAGTTTCCCCCTGGCCAGTCTCCTCTTCACCCCCTGGCTCCTTCCTTCCGGCCCTCCCGAACCCTCCCTCCGGCGAGCCCTGCCCCTGCAGGGGCAGGAGGTGTGGGCTGCGGCCCCCAGGTCCCTCAGTGACACAGGCCCAGGGCGCTGCTCTGGTCACTCTGGGCTCTCTCAGTGGCTCAGCCTTCCTGGAGGTTCTAACCTCGCCCGGAGCCCCAGATCCGCCTGCCTGCACGGCCCTGGCGTCTTAGCCGCTGCAGACGCGTCTAAAATGGGGGTTGGGATTGTCATCCCCGACCTGCCGGCACCTGGAGCTCCCGTTCACTTGTTCTCCCACTCATGAGTCTCCTCTCTCTCCACGGGGATCAGGGGGCCTTTGAGGGGCCGGATATAAAACGTGGCGTTTGGAATTACAAATTACCCCCAAGATCAGGACGTGTGGCCACGTTGACTTTGTTCTCCAAGGGGGAACATCATCGTGGCGACACCAGGCCGCCTGGAGGACATGTTCCGAAGGAAGGCCGAAGGCCTGGACCTGGCCAGCTGCGTGAGGTCCCTCGATGTCCTGGTGTTGGATGAAGCGGACAGACTTCTGGACATGGGGTTCGAGGCCAGGTACTGGTTTTCGGACTCGATTGGACACGTGAATTTCACGGCATTAGATTGTTTGCTCCTTCAAATTCTACCACACGATATAAACTCCAGTTCATCTATTTTTCTTGTTTATTTTTTCCTTTAATCTTCACCCGAGGATATGTTTAGAGAGAGAAAGAGAGAAAAATATTGATAGGTTGCCTCTTTATGTGCCCTGACCAGGAATTGAACCCTCAACCTTTTGGTGTGCATGTGTTTTTTTTGTGTTTTTTTTTTTTCTTTTTTTCTTTTTTTGGTGTGTGTGTATGTGTGTGCACGCACACATGTATTAATAAATAGCTTAATTGGGATCTGATTCCTATGTCTTACAATTCACCCATTTAAAAGGGGCAGTTCACTGGTTTTTAGTCTCAGAAAGTTTGTCTTAATTTCACTTTCTCCTTGCACTGCCCCACTTTATGGAAGTACAATCGTGCTTACATAGAGAAACTCGAAGTGAGAACACAGAAGATAATAAAAGGCATAAATCATCTCACCTCAGTGACATTTGCTGTCAGTACTGCGGTCATTCCTTTCGGTTTAACAGAATGTAATGTTTGGGATCGTAAGGTAAAGTTTGCTGGTTGTGCCGGTAAGTCGGGGGTTCCGTTTGCGCCCCTCTTTCAGCATAAACACCATCCTGGAGCTGCTGCCCAAGCAGAGGAGGACGGGGCTGTTCTCGGCCACGCAGACGCAGGAGGTGGAGAGCCTGTTGCGCGCGGGCCTGCGGAACCCGGTGCGCGTGTCCGTGAAGGAGAAGGGCGCGGCGGCCAGCAGCACCCAGAAGACCCCCTCGCGCCTGGAGAACCACTACATGGTGAGCCCCTGGGGGCTCCGCGCCCCGGCCACTCGGCGCAGCCCGGGGGCGGCACTCGGCAGTGCCGGGGGTGCTTGCGTTTGCCAAGGGGCAGATTGTATGGGTTTTCAATGGGAGGTAGGTGTTGGTAGTTACCCTTTTTAAAAAAATATGTTTTTATTGAATTCAGAGAAGGGAGAGGGGGAGAGAAAGAGATTGATGAGAAACATCCATCAGCTGCCTCCTTCTCGCCTCCTGCTGAAGATCAGCCGTAACCTGAGCATGTGGCCTGACCAGCAATTCGGCCAGTTAAACTCTCGGCTCAGAGGTCGCCGCTCAGCCACTGAGCCACACCGGGCGGGGCAGCAGCCGGGCAGTTACCTGGATGGTGGCCCTGGTCTCACATTCATCGTACACGTGTGTCCAATCAGCACACCGGACACCTGGAATACGTGCAGTGTTATCTGCCAGCTCCCCCTCTGCAGAGCTGGGAGGAGAGAGACACTGCTTTGAGCTAACGCAGTGTGCTGGGAAGCCTTCACTTCACTGGGACTGCGCTCAGGGAGCTGGTGCCTAATGGGCGTTTTGACAAACCCTTAGGGTTAGGGCTGAGACAGAGCACCGCTCACTATGGGATTGGCTGTGGGCTATGGGGATTGGCTGTAGGGATTGGCTGTGGGGATTGGCTGTGGGGATTGGCTGTGGGGATTGGCTATGGGGATTGGCTATAGGGATTGGCTGTAGGGATGGGGATCGTCAGTGCATTTGTGTGTTTTACTTTTCTCGTTTTCTTTTCTCGTTGCAGGTGTGCAAGGCAGATGAGAAGTTTAACCAGCTGGTCCATTTCCTACGCAACCACAAGCAGGAGAAGCACCTGGTCTTCTTCAGGTAGCGCTCCGGGCCGGGTGGGCGGGCCGGGCTCAGCCGCACCAGTGCCGAGCCCTGGGGAAGAAGCCGGTCCCCAGAGGGAAGCAGGAAACTTTATATTTAAGTGTCATCGCTTTTGTTATGAAAGACGGCTTCTCAGGGTTCGGGGGAGCCCTTGCTCCATCATCGTTAGGCGTGGGGATGTGTCCTGGGGGTTTAGCCCATGCTTGGGGGGAGCGGGTTGGGTTTAGCTTGGGGCCCTGTCAGCTGTGGGCACGCACAGCCCTCTGCCTTCTCCCGGAGGCCGGTGGCCCCGCCTGAGCCCTGTCTCCTCGCAGCACCTGCGCCTGCGTGGAATACTACGGGAAGGCGCTGGAGGCGCTGGTGAAGGGCGTGGAGGTCATGTGCATTCACGGGAAGATGAAGTTCAAGCGCAACAAGATCTTCATGGGCTTCCGCCAGCTGCAGAGGTGGGCCTGGCGGGACGGCGCTTCTCCGGCCGCGAGTGTCCCTCTGCCTCGGACGCCCCTGGGCGTCCTTCATTCCCTGCTGCGACCCCCCCCCCCCCCAGTCATCCCGTCCTCTGTGCAGGTGCCACCTGTCCCTCTGTCCTGCCCAGCCACCGTGCTGTGCCCACTTCCCGGAGAGGTTGTGAGCTCTGTAAGAGCAGGGACCTGCATATCGCAGTCACTGAGAGATTCCGGGACCCCCCCCCCCTCCCCCGCCGTCCTCCCTGAGCGCTGAGGCTGCTGGCCCGGAGCGTGCGGCTCCCGCTCACCATTCCGTCTCCCTCCCCAGCGGGGTCTTGGTGTGCACCGACGTGATGGCCCGCGGCATCGACATCCCCGAGGTGAACTGGGTGCTGCAGTACGACCCCCCCAGCAGCGCAAGGTACCGCGGCCCAATGCTGCCCTCCGCTGGGAACCGCCTGGAAATAGGGGTCTGGGGCAGGCAGACAAAATGCCGAGTCTCGGTATTTCTAACAGCAGAAACAGGCGAGTGGGTGTGTCACGGCCCGCGGTAGCGATTCCAGCCTGTCCCACCGGCTAAGCATCCATGTGAACACCTGTAGTCCGTGTTCAGTGCTCACAGCGTCCTGTCTGGTGGGCAGTGGATACATAGTCGCTGACTCTCCTGTGTCCTGGTCAGGGCGGGGCTGGGACTGAGCCGTGGGCCGGCGGCCCCGGGCCTGTGCTTGGCTCAGCCGCCGCTGCATGCCCGTGTCCCCGTTCCAGCGCCTTCGTGCATCGCTGTGGCCGCACCGCGCGCATCGGCCACGGCGGCAGCGCACTGGTGTTCCTGCTGCCCATGGAGGAGGCCTACGTCAACTTCCTCGCCATCAACCAGAAGGTGAGCCGCCTCTCGCCCCGTTCTGGCGCGGGGTCGGGGATTAAATCGGGGTGCAGACTCCCAGGGCCCGGCTGGTGACGTCCGTGCGGGAACCTGGGCTTCAAGGCCAAGGGTTGACCCTAGCCTCATCGCAGGGGCAGCCGTGTCCCTGGTGGACCCGGCTTTGCCGCACTTGCCGACCAGAAGCCAGTGGTCACGTAACATTTTAAACGTTCGGGTCCAGGAGAGCACTTGGGCTGGCCTTGGGCTTGGCGGCCTCTGATCGGAGATGCCAGGGGCTGTGTGGCCCTCGGTCTCCGTGGCGCTGGCCCTGGGGGAGCCTCAGGAAGTGGTCTCCGCAGTGCCCCCTGCAGGAGATGCAGCCGCAGAAGCACACGGCGGACCTGCTCCCGAAGCTGCGGGCGCTGGCCCTGGCCGACCGGGCCGTGTTTGAGAAGGGCATGCGCGCCTTCGTCTCCTTCGTGCAGGCCTACGCCAAGCACGAGTGCAGCCTCATCTTCCGGCTCAAGGGTGAGTCGGGCGTCCGCACGCGGCTGGTCTGTGCGGGCGGCTGCGCTCCCGCAGGCCCTGGGCGTGAGGCTGTTCTGGCTTATAAACGCCGGGCCTGTGTCGGGCATTGTGTTCTAAACACCTGGAGTCCTCCCAGGGCGTGGGCAGAGGGAACGGACTGGCGCCGAGTGTTCCTTTTAGTAGACGTGGTGACTGGAGCTACAGTGGATCGTGAGGTCGTTGGTTAGAGGAAGGATCTGGAACCTCCCGGGCGGGTCTCACCCTGGGCTTCCCTGCATCAGATCTGGACTTCGCTGCCCTCGCGCGCGGCTTCGCCCTCCTGAAGATGCCCCGGATGCCGGAGCTGAGGGGGCAGCAGTTCCCGGACTTCGTGCCCGTGGACGTCAACACGGACACCATCCCGTTCAGAGACAAGATCCGGGAAAAGCAGAGGCAGAAGCTGCTGGAGCAGAGGAACGAGAAAACCGACAGCGAAGGGAGGAGGAGGTTCGTCAAAAACAAAGCGTGGTCGAAGCAGAAAGCCAAGAGGGAGAAGAAGAAAATGAACGAGAAGAGGAAGAGGGAAGAGGTAACGTGGGAGAGCCCGGGGGCGGGGCTTCGGGGTGTGCCCGGGCGCTCCCAGCGCTGTTAGGTGGCGACGGGCGCCCTGTGCCCGGGGGAGCCGCTCTGAGCGAATCATTTCTGATGAGAGCGGCTCCCCCGCTCCGTCACTGAGGCGCTCGGCTCCGTTTCCCTCAGGGCTCTGAGCTGGACGACGAGGACACGGAGGAGCTCCTGAAGGACACGCGGCTCCTGAGGAAGTTCAGGAAAGGCAGGATCACGGAGGAGGAGCTGGAGAAGGGGCTGCTGACGAGCGCTAGGGGGCCCGTCAGGACCGAGGGTTTGGGGGTCTCCGATGCGGAGGGGGACGGCTGATCCGGGGCTCGGGAGAGCCGGCACGGGGCTGCGTCCTTTCCCGGACGGGACCGGGACCGGGCGGCGTGCTGTCCTGCAGGCTGGGAGGGCGGAGGGGCCTTCAGGTCATGAACGATTTACCACAGACGCCCGCCTGAGGCCCAGCGGGAGGTGGGAGTTATTTGGTGTAAATAATAGATGTCAATATTTATTTTGATGGTCGCCTATAATTAAAGAGCTTATTTTACACTCTTTTAAATACACTGATGCTGGTATATTGAAGTTCCCTGGTGCTTTCAGGCCCCTGAGCTCCCTGGGGCAGTGCGCCGGCCACGGGGTCCCTGTGGGGCAGGGCCCAGGACACGGCCCAGAGTGGCAGTGGCCCGGGTTTTCCCTCTCTCCTGAGAACGGTCCCCAGGACTCTGTTATCGGGGAGCATCTGAGAAGTCGGGGCAGCTAGTCCTGTTTTGGGAGATGACGCCTATTGACTACACCCTCAGTATGAAGAGGTGGCACTGTGTCCACACAGCGAGGCCTGGCTCAGCGCGCAGTGCTGATGCAAAACCAGTCAGTGTCTCACGTTATTTATTGAAAAGATGCTGAATGTGTTCCCACGTGCAATTTTTAAACGTCCAGGTCCCAAACCTGTTAAGATCCACATCTTTCACAGACACAACTTTCGTTTCCAAACGTCTGGAGGCGTCATTGGCGGTGAGCGCCCGGGTTGGCTGGGTGCTCCTTCGGCTCGTGTCCACCAGGGGCAGCGGTGCTACCTGCCCTTCCTGGGCACCACGTGGTGCAGGGCAGTGAGGAGCACCTGCTCGGTGAGGGGGCCTTGGCAGAGGACGAGGGGAGGGGTCTGGAGGGTTAAGAGCCAATAGTCTAACGTGTGTTTCTAGAAACAGGAAGTGAATGGCAGTGTCTGGGAACCATCAGTACAGCTTAGGTGGTTTTACTGGCACCGGGAACATGTTCAAACAGGACTAGAAAGGATAAAAAATTCACCAAAATGGTTTTAAGTCCCTAGTTCATAAATCTCCATTAAAACAGCTCCGTTGGGCTGGCTCGCCGGGGTCCAGAGGCTCCTCCCGCCGTGGCTCCGTCCCCTGAGGCAGGAAGCCCTTACAGGTACAGCTTGATGAGCTCGTCGCTGACGGCCGAGGGCGTCAGCACGCCCAGGTCCGTGAACAGCAGTGTGATCAGCGAGGGGGGTGTGTAGTCCACCCACGGGTGCTCCTCTCGGAGGTCCTGTCCAGTCTGCACAGACCGCAGTGTGTCCGCCTTGTACTGCGGAGACAGAAGCCATGTTAGTCTGCCCACCACGCGCTCAGGGCTCTGCACGGGGGCTGGCCCCACCACTGTCCCCAGACGGGAGAGGCCAGCTGGGCGCACCGACACGAGGGCGCTGCTGTTGTGGGGCTGTCACCGCGGTCCCTGGCCACAGAAGCCCAGGCACCTGTCCCCTCCCTCTGGGCGGGCACTGCTCAGCCTACCCCTGGTGATAGGCTGCCAATGCTGTTCCCCTGCACAGGTCACTGAGGTTCGGAGCTCGGAGGACGGGGCCTGCCCACGGGCACGTGGTCAGGAAGTGGCTCCAGGCCTGCACACTCCCCACCAGCCCCGCCCGCAGCCGTGGCAGTGCTCAGTGCTCAGTGCTCAGTGCTCAGTGCTCGGGAGACGAAGGCTGGGCTCACCGCCACCAGTTTGTCTCCTGATCCCCACTGGGAGGAAGCGGCCCCCCCCCCCCGGGAGTAACTCACGCGTCTGAAGGGGCACTTGCATCAAGCTCTTGCCTTAAACTTGTCGGGGACGTCCTGCTGGTTCAGGGGGAAGAGCCGGACGAACTTGAAACTCTCGGCGACCACGTAGAAGGGCTTGTTCTGCGCCTTGGCGCACACGGCCATCTGGTTGGTTCCGATCTGGGAAGACAGGAAGGGGGGCCGGTGAGGCCGATGGCAGGCACGGAGGCAACAGAAAGCACACGCGTGATCGTAACGTGTAACCTCACTGCGGAACCCAGGCGGAGCTTTTAAAAAAGAAAAACAAAGTGGATCTTCTCCCAGAGACACACCAGTAAACTCAGGGAAAGACGCTCCGGGCCCTGAGTCACCAGGGAAATGCAGGTCAGAGCCACTAAACACCACTTCCTCAGTGACCTGCCCCGACCGGCACCGACCAGGGCCGCACAGCCGGTGCCCAGCCATTGAGCCACACCAGCCCGGCTGGGCTGGATAGAGACCTTTTAACACGTTCTATTGATGTCAGACATACTCAATAGAAAAGAAAACCAACTGAAAAGGCCCAGTTTCAGTTAAAACATATTTTTGGAAAATAGAAATTACGTCTATAGATGAGTCTCTGAAACCAGGGAGTTTTACCAAAACTGGACCGACCACCACAATGGCTTCTGGGACTGGGAAGCAAGCGGATGGGCTAAGCAGGATCACGTGACCGAACCACACAGCACCGCAGGCTTCCGTGACCTGGGTCGGGCACGTCCTGCGCTGGGCAGCGATGGCAGAGCGGGGCTCCTACCTTGTTAATGATGCCCCCGTTCTCCACAACCCCCTCGGCGCCCACGATGACGAGGTCCGCCTTCTCCATGATGTAGCTGCGGGAGTGAGGCGGCGGTTACTCCTCCCTCCGCTCGGCGGCTCTGCACAGGCTGACACTGCCTCCCGTGGTGCGCTCCCCTGTAACTACCATCCGTGCCCCTGGGCCCCGCACAGCGAGACCCGTTTCCCTCCGGACCCCACGCCGCGCTGCCACCCAGTGCGCACAGGTGTGCGAACCCGAGCAGGACTCCGGCCGCGGGGAGACCGCAGCCCGCAGCCCGGCTTCCCCACGCGGTCCCTCCGGAGGGGCTTTCCTGTGGTCTCGGGCTCGCTGCCTGTGGCCTCGGGGTAAGTGGCGTGGCGGAGACGAAGAAGCCAAGGGCCACAGGGCACGATGTCTTCAGATGAAGGGGGAGCCCCATCCTCTGCTGACCTGACCCCGACTTTGCCCCCTGCCCTGGCACCACAGGCTGAACCCTGCCCATCACCGCCCCGCTGGCGTCCTCCAGCCCGGCGTCTGGCAGCTGTTAATTAAGAGGTGGGTGCTCCGCCGGCCCTGGGAGTGGGTGGGGACGCGGGCGCTCACCCAACAGCGGCGTCCAGGACCACGGTGACGGGCACGTTGAGGTGGCACAGCGCTTTGGCCATTTTCTTCCTGAAAATGGCATTTGAGAGCATCAGATAAAACCCAGAAAGTTCCAGAGGGATGTATGAGCAGTCACACCACTTACGGGAAACCTGCGGACCCCTCATCTCATTGTTAGGTCAAGCCCTGGGCCGCAGGGCGACACCCCTCCTGTGCTTCCCCTGGCTTCCCCGGCGCCAGCAGGCAGGCAGCGCCGGACGCTGCAGGTCGGGGCCTGCCCTGGCTCCTGGCGATGGCTTCCAGCCCACAGCCCGCCCCTGAGAACGGCTGCGGGCACAGGACCCGGGGAGGGGTACTTGCCCGGACAAATCCGGCTGCGACTCGGTGATGTACACGCTGAAGCGCTTCTTGGCCGCCACGGCCGCCTCCAGGACCCGCAGGACCACCCTGGAGTAGGCGTGGGTCAGGATCCGCTGTGGGCGAGAACGCCCCGTCAGAGGCCGGCCCAACGCGCCCCGCCCTGGGCACTGGAGGTGCCCGCGATGTCTCCTGGTCAGTAGTGGGCGATGCCGAGGGAAGGATGCAGACACGTCTAAGCATCTTATTAGCCCTGGGCCGGGCGACCCACTGCGCTCGCAGCTCCTGTCTTTCCCTGATCAACACTTGGCAGCCGAGCATCTGCCATAGCAGTGAAATGAGATTAAAAACATCTCACCCCAGTGCCAGCCTTTACCAGGAAGGGACAGGAGCTGCTGTGTCCATTTTGTATGAACTCAGTACACGTCCAATAACAAAATCACTTCCTTAAGGCATCTCATTATGTCACGGCTTATCCACGCTGTCCCCGTGTTTTTCTCTGCTCGTTAAAAGTGACAACCGTCTACGATCATACCTGCATTTATATAGTGCCTACTGTGTGCCAGGCCCAGCACACAGTCCTTACACATACCGCCTGGCTATCCTCACAACCACCCGGCGAGGTGGGTGCTGATACTCCGCCCACTTAGCAGTGAGCACGGCAGATGCAGGAAGTCACCCCGGAGTCCTCCCGCCAAAGCCCTCGCTCCGCTACCGCGGCCCCTTACCGCCCCGTCTTTGATGAAAGTGTGGCACAGGTCCGCAATTTTCCTTCTGGACAGCGATATCCTCCTGAGGAAAAGCTCTCCCCGCTCAATCATGATCTTCTTACACTTGGAGTAATCCTAGGAGGGAAGGGCAGGATGAGGGCGAAGCGGGGAAGGTCTGCAGCCGGAGAGCCGCGGGAGAGGGCCCGGGCGGTGGGCTCACCGAGTACTCCAGGGACGCGAGGCTGATGAAGCGCAGGAAGAGCTCGCCGCCCGAGGACACGGCCACGGAGGAGTCTGCGCCGCCCAGGGTTTCGATGGCTCTGGTGAGGTTCGCTCTCAGGCCCTGGATCGTCTCCCCTGGACCGATCACATGAGAAATCACAGGCCCTCGGTGGTCTGTCGTTCACTCACTCACTCACTCACTCATTCATCTACGATGCACAGTTATGCTAGTCTAGATGCCAGAGAGACGCCAGTGAACACGACAGACAGGGTCGCTGCTCTGATGAACTCTCTAGTGGGAGAGGCAGAAAAGAAACGGGTACCCAGCGAAATCGGGACGGGAATTACAGAGTAGTGAGGACAGAAAAGAGAAAAATGACAGGAAAGGTGAAGCTGTGGTCAGGTGAGCAGGCATGGCTTCTTGGAGTGGGGGCCCTTTAAATGAAGAGGGAAGGGTCCAGACACATAAGATCCAGTGGGACAGGTCCCAGGGGCAAAGGCCACGAGATGGAAACAACCCAGGTCTGAGAAAGAGAGGCCAGCTTGGCCAAAGCACAGGTAAGAGAGAGAGAGAGAGAGAGAGGGGGGGGGGGAGAGAATGAATGAACGGAGGACGTTAAGTAGCCCAGGCAGGTGAGGTCTGGGAGGCGGAGCAGCGGGGACCAGGGGTTTGGGTGTTATTGGGAGCAGATGGAGACACGACGTTGTCCGGGGATTAAAGAAGCTTCATTATTTCCCTTCCGCAAGACGTCACGCTCTCCTCGGATGCTCACACCTGGAATGCCTGAACCGGCAGGCGATCGGGATGAACGGACTTAATGCCGGAATTTAACTTGAGGGCTCTCTCAGGGTCAAAGGGAGAAAAGCAAAGGAAGAAGCTGAGCTTGGGGTGACAGCACCGTATGCAGGGACACAGATGTCGGGAGACTGTCCTAGGGCCCGTATGCGCCGCGGCGACCCTCACCTTTATCTCGCTTCAAGAACTCCAGCAGCGTCCGGATGGCAGCCACCGCCGAGGCCATGTCGGGATCTTCTTTCATCTGAGACTTAAAGTACTGGATTAGCTCTGGGAAGAGAGGAAAAAGTGATCCATCAAATTCTCTTCGAGGCCAGAGAGCCTGTCAATCACCGTTCGGTGTCTGGCTGTCAGGGGATAATGGCCAATGGGGGTACAAATGAGCCTTAGGGGCCATTCTCCCTCTTATCCTGAACCCTGCGTCCTGAGAACCCCACTCCACCACCTTACCAGTGTCTCCGCTACCCGTCCCTGCAGACAGTCTATGCTAGGTCACACCTATTCAATGCAGACTTATTTACTTCTATTTGCTTAACCACCTTCCATTTGCTTAACGTGAACATTACATGTGTATTAGTTTATTATCTCCTAACAAACGCTTTGATAACCACACTAGGTGAGCACATCCAACACGCCTTATTCTGCTGACTCTAATGCCAGATTTAACAGTTCAGAGTCACTCCTACTCCGCCTGCGGGGAGATCAGGACTGCGAAGGCTTGCACGGCCAAGAAGCGTGGGGAGCGGGGGTGTCTGCGGACACGCTCAGGGCCCAGCCCCCGGACCCAGGACCACGAGAGAAATTACTCAGAGGAACCACATCCAGCCGAGCAGCCGGAGCTCGGAAAGCGGCCGCTCTCTCCCGGAGCCCAGCCTGGGCGTGCGAGGTGCAGGGACCCCTGCGCGGCTCCGCTCTAGACCCGGCAGGTCCGGCCCGGCCCCACTTACCCTTGTCGTCCATGGTGCCCTCCGGACCGCGGAGCCCGAGGGGCCCGGAGCCGCCCGTGCTGCCCGCTGGCTTCCCGCGACCGCGCCGGCTCGGGATCTCAGAGTCTGACAGCGCGCCGCGCCGCTCCGCACTCCACTTCCGGCGCGCGGGGGGCGGGGCCTGGGTGCCGCGCTGGGTAAGGGCCCAACGCCTTACGTCACTCGGAAGCGCCGGAAGTGGAGATGCGCGGCTTCCGGGATGTTCACTTGACTTCCGGGGGCTCTGCGCTGAGGGATCCCAGGCCACCATGGTCTCGGACGGTGAGGGCCGCGCCGGTTGGGACCGGGACCGGGACTGGTGGGATGGGCCGCCCGGAACCGGCAGATGGCTGCGTGTTTGGGCCGGGGGCACCTGGTTGGCAGCGAATGTGCTCATTCCGGAGCTGCTGCTGGCTCCCGCCTGCGGGCCCGGCATTGCTTGCTGTGCAGTAGCAGCGGGGAGCCAGCACTGCCCCCGTGGAGGGCACAGCCCAGCGGGTGAGGCAGACAGAGGCCAGTGAGTAGAAAGGATGCTGACGGGGACGGAGCTGTGAAAGCGGCTCACGGGTGACGTGTCAGCGTGTGAGGAGGCGGCGAGGAAGGCGCGGGCGCTTACCTGGGCGTCCAGGCAGCCGCAGGGGCTGCAGAGAGAGGAGTGAGCATGCGCCCCTCGGTGCACAGGGACGCTCCGGCCCCCGGGACCCCGCCGGCCCGGGCGGGCAAAAGCCCTGATTCGCTAAGGAGTCCCAGCCTCGTGGGAAGCGATGAGAACGGAGCACAGGGAGCTGTGAAGGGAGGTGGTGCCCGGAGCGCCGTTAGGAGGGTCAGCCCTGCGGTCCGCACTGGGCAGCGGGGCTCCGAGCAGCCAGACCTGCCCGGCTGGTGGCCAGCAGGCCACGGGACGCCCAGCAGGCGCCTTTCCTTTGCAAAGTCAGGACCGCCACATTTCATCCACTCCGAAACGGCGCTGATTGTGAAATGCTCTTTCGTCTAACTGTCATTGGAGACCCTGCTAGCGACCCACAGCCTGAGAACCGCTGCTGTAGAGCCTAAGACCATCGGAAAACACCGATATTTACATTACAATTCATAACAGTAGCCCAAATAGTTATGAAGTAGCAACGAAAATAATTTTATGGCTGGGGGGGTCCCCACGACATGAGCTGGATCAGAGGGTCGCGGCATTCATTAGGAATGTGGAGACAACTGCTCTAAAGCCAACGAAAAACGTTTTTTAAAAACAAACAAAAATGCAAATATTTTTGGGTCCGTCTGATGTTTACCACACACCCTGTATGGCTGTGCAGCAGGTGAGGAACAGGAGATAAGCAGTGACAGAACAGACGCCCCCCCACACACCCCGTGGAGCTGATGTGAGAGGCTGTTGTGAGGCCGGAGGGCTTGCTCGGGGCCACGGAGCTGTAAATGTTCGAGAGCTTGGCCTTCTGTCAGTCTCAGCATTGTCAGACCACAGGCATGTAGAGGCATGTAGACTGTTAGCGTTTCACTTTCATGAGGCTCATGTTTTTTGTTTGTTTTTTTGTTAATATTTTCAGAAGATGAATTGAACCTCCTAGTGATTATAGTTGATGTCAACCCCATTTGGTGGGGAAAGCAAGCGTTAAAGGAATCCCAGGTAAGATTGCTGGAGGGGGCCTTTGGCTAATTCTAGTTTAACTGAGTATGTGTTTAGATTGCTTTTTAAAAAAAAAATAGCTTGAGTAAGGGATTTTTGTACCATAAAATGCATCCATTGTAATGTACAATTGGTTGATTTTTTAGTAAAACCCACAGGAGAGCTGTGTAACCATGACCACAATTCTGTGCTTTTACTTTTTTTTAGTTCACGCTGTCGAAATGCATGGACGCCGTGATGGTGCTGGGGAACTCGCACTTGTTCATGAACCGGGCCAACAAGCTGGCGGTGATTGCCAGCCACATCCAGGAGAGGTGGGGCGGCAGGCGGGGTTCCCTGCCTTTAGCGGGTCCTGTGCCTGCTGTGTGCTGTCTGTATCTCTGAGCAGCACTCACACATCAGGAAGCATGACATGCACACCCGAGGGTATGAGCACAGGGAACCTCCTGGCAGGGAGACAGGGAGCTGGTCGGGTGCTCATCTAACGTACACCTCACCTTGTCCTGGGGCAGAGGGAGCATCACTGATGGCGGCAGCCCCGGCTCTGCTCTCCTGGGGGGTCTGCGGGGCGGGGCAGGCGGGAGAGCGCTGGGATTCCATTGCCCTTCAGCCAGCCCCGCTCCTGGCCGCCTGCTCCTCGGCTCTGGGTGTGATTCCCGTGTTGATAAGTAAGGATTGTGCTTATCAATTGGCCCTTAACCCACACCAGCTCTGCCAGCTGGTGCTGGGCTGAAGGAACAGTGGTACACGAACCTGTGTACAGAGAGGAAGGGAGAAAGAGAGAGAGAGAAACATCAGTGATGAGAGAGAATCATGGACCGGCTGCCTCCTGCAAGCCCCCCACTGGGATGCGGCCTGAAACCCAGGCCTGTGCCCTTGACTGGAATTGAACCCAGGACTTTAGTCCGCAGGCTTACGCTCTATCCGCCGAGCCACACCAGCCAGGGCTGTAGATTTTTAAATGGAATTTATTGTAGATCTTATGACCCAGACTTAACGTGACTTTTGCGGGTTTTCTCTGCTGAAGGTCACCCTCACGTCTAGTGAGGGGGCTGCGTCCCGGTGTAAGCAGCCTTCCCCCTGCCGTTTCAGCCGGTTCCTGTACCCTGGGAGGAACGGGCGACTCGGAGACTTCTTCGGGGACCCTGGCAACCCCGCCTCGGAATATAACCCCTCAGGGAGCAAAGACGGCAAGTACGAGCTGCTGACAGCGGCAAATGAAGTCATTGTGGACGAGATCAAGGACCTGATGACCAAGAGTAAGAGCTTTTCCCTCCGTTGTTATTTTGCGAACGGAGTTGAACGTGGGCCTGGAGGCCTTACCTGCCTCCTCTCCCTGCCCCCGCAGCCTCGCTGCGCTGCCCCCGCTGCTGGAAGCACGCTCTGGCTTCTAAGGCTGTCCTGTGGGTCTGCTTTTCCTCTTTTTGGACTACTTCTCCTTCTATTTATGCCCTTTCCTTGAAATACATGTTTTTTATTTTGTTTAAAGTATTATTATCACTCATGAAGAAGAACACTTTGGTTTAATAATGTTTTTAATTGAAGAAAATGCCAGGAAATCCCCCCCTTTGATGCTGCTTATTCCTTTCGCAGGCGACATAAAAGGGCAGCACACAGAGACCCTGCTGGCGGGGTCCCTGGCCAAAGCTCTGTGCTGTATCCTCCTCCGTGTGATCACACGTGTGTCCTCCGGGAGAGACGTGTCTTCCTGGGCTGCCGCCTGGACCCCGTGTCCACGTTCATGTGTCCACGTTCATGTGTCCGCGGGAATGAAGGCTGAGCCTTGTGAAGCGGTGGCTTTGCCGTGTTTGTGAGCAAGCTGGAGGAACTCGGAGTGGGACGAGTGGGAGAACGCTAATGCTTCTGTTATGATGTGGGGAGAAACGTTGATGTGCTGTTCCACTTACGCATTCATTGGTTGCTTCTTGTGCGTGCCCAGACGGGGATCGAACCTGCAACCTCTGTGTCCTCCCGGGCACGTCCTTGCTGCCTTGTTTCTTGGTGAGGCAGACTGGGGAGTTGTTTTTTTTTCATTTTTGCTTGATTATAAAAGCCTCTCACCGCCCTGGTGCTCAGCAAGCGAGCCGCCCCTGCTCCACAGCCAGCGGGTTACTCTGCGGTCAGCGTGGGGCCCACAGCCCGCTGAGCATCTCGATGTCTGTGTCTTTGAGGGTGGTGTCTGGCCCCTGTGTGTGGTCTTCATGTTCCAGATCCCCCCTGACCGGCTGGCTTTGGTCCCAGTGGTCCAATCTGGGTGTGGGGGGGTCGTCATACAACAGTCCGTGGTGGCCATTGTATTTTCTGGGACAGAGGCACTTTGGAGACCTCCAGTCCTTTGTTTTATGTGTCTGTCCCGGTGAAGGGAACAGGTCTCTCTCCGTTTGGGGATGCGGGGTTTATTTAAGTAAATTTGGGGTTGTTTTTTGTTTATTATGAATACTGATGAAGTCAATGATATTTTAAAATTCCTTAATGCGAAGACAATCAGACATCCACAGGATGAACAAGGAGGTTAAAGGTAGGCGCCTACGTTTCCTGTGGGACTGAGCCTCATCTCACCCGTAACTGGTGGGCTGCCTGGGGTTGGTTAGGAGACCTCACAACACGCTTAAGCTCAGTTACATCGCAGCCCTTTTCTCCCCACAGACACCCAGGAGATGAAGTCCCGGGTGCTGGTAAGGTCTTTACAGTTATTACTATGTTTGTGTCTGCCCCTGGCGGCTGGGGGTTGGCTCTGTCCGTGTCACGTGGCGTCACTGAGGGGAGAAATAGTGCCGCTCCCCCGGCAGTGTCATCCGCCGGGTCAGGGTCAGGGTCAGGGTGGGATGTGCGGTCTCGCTGATTTCCGAGCTCGTCCCGGAGCTGTGCGAAGGGCACTGCCTACACTGAGGCTTGCGCAGGGATTTGGGTAAATAATGGAAGTCAGACGGCGAAGTCGGCAAGAAGAGGTGGCAGCTCACCAGGGGAGGACCGGCCCGCTGTGTGTGTGCGGTGGGTGTGAGGGCATGACGGCCCAGAGCTGCTCTCCTGACTGTTAGCCAGGGCTGCCTTTGGGGTGGTGGGGTTTGGGGGTTTCCCGTCTCCTCTCCCCCGATGGGGCCGTTTCCTGAGGACGGTGAGGGAGGCAGTGGGAAAGGCTGTGTGAGAGCAGCGGGACCTCCCGGGGAGGTGGGCGCCTGCAGGTGCTGACGGCTGTGACCGCAGGTGATCAAGGCGGCGGCGGACAGCGCCCTGCAGTACATGAACTTCATGAACGTCATCTTCGCGGCGCAGAAGCAGGTGCGTGGATGCCCTCCTCTCCGGGTGCTCAGACAGGGAGCTGACTGCTTTTCCTAATGGCCCGCTGAGGGCGGTCTGACTCAGTAGCCTTATGAATGGGGGAGGGATCTGCACCCCATAGTTCATACGGTCATTGGAGTCCTGGCCTGCGAGGATGAGCCCCAGACAGACATGCACTCAGGCAGGTTAACACAGTTCCCGGGCCTTCATGGTCCCATCGGCCATCGGAGGACCCAGGCCAAGAGTCTCTGGCTGTGCAGTGTGCTCTGTGCCTTGTGGAGTGTCACTGATACATGCCATTTTCTCTGATATGTTAAACTCTTGTTATAATTCCGTGCCATAGTTGCATATACGCTTCTCCGTCTGGAGTGCCCACGTGAGGCAGTGAAAAGACCATGGGCCTTGGGGGCAGGCCAGCTAGGGTTGACCCCACTGCCTCTCCGGCTCTGTGACCACGCTTGGCCCCGGCCTGGCTGCAGGGTGCTGATCGGAGACCTGCCTCGCCCGGTTATGCGTATTAGATAAGCCGTTTCAAGAGCAGAGCTCGGCACATGGATTCTGAGTGTAAATCAGTCATTCTTGTTATCATTCCCGTAATATTTCCACAACATCCATTTCAGAACATTTTGATCGATGCCTGTGTCTTGGACTCCGATTCAGGACTCCTCCAGCAGGTATGTTCTAGGTGAATGCTTGGCGGCGGTGGTTACGAAAGCGCGGTGTGTTCTGTCCTGTGGTTCTGTGTGCGCGAGCCGGTCTGGCAGGAGCGCGGTGTGTCTTGCAGGCGTGTGACATCACGGGCGGACTGTACCTGAAGGTGCCTCAGATGCCCTCCCTCCTGCAGTACTTGCTGGTAAGGAGCCGTGCCCGTCTCCTGGGGAAGGGATGGGCGCAGCATGGCGGGCGCCAGCCATTGGAGGAAAGGAAGAAGGGGGACGTGGTGGTCACGGAGCTGAGAAGGGGGCTTCCCACGGTCTTTGAGAGCTGCAGGCCGTGTGCAGAATGCTGCGTTCCTGCCTGCTGGCAGAGCAGTGCCTGTCTGTGGAGGTGCTCAGTGATTGCTGAATGAATAATAAAAAGGTTTTTTAACTTATTTTCTTACAGTGGCTCTTTCTTCCTGATCAAGACCAGAGATCTCAGTTAACCCTCCCGCCCCCGATTCACGTGGACTACCGGGCCGCCTGCTTCTGCCACCGCAACCTCATTGAGATCGGCTACGTGTGCTCCGTGTGCTTGTCCAGTAAGTTCACGGCCGCAGCGCTCCTTCTGCCGGGTCGCGGGAGGCCAGCGGCTAGCTCCACGGTACGGTGTCCCGCCAGCCTGGCTTTTGTCTGTTTTCTGCCTTCACAGTATTCTGCAACTTCAGCCCCATCTGTACGACCTGCGAGTAAGTCTCCCTGGGGTTGGGTGGCTGCGCCCCTCCCGCGCCAGAGTCAGTGCGTTGCAGGGCGACTTCCTCCCTGTGTCTTTCAGGACGGCCTTTAAGATCTCTCTCCCTCCCGTGCTGAAGGCCAAGAAAAAGAAGCTGAAAGCGTCGGCGTGATGATGGAGCGTTCCGTCTCAGCGCTGCCTGGAGAAACGGGGTGTGGGGGCGGGAGTCTTTATAAGGAGGCTCTGAGAAAGCAGAGACACGTGTAAGAGTTAAGGTGGCTCCTCACAGGGTGCAGTCCTGGAGATCACCCTCTCCTGCAGGGATGCTGTACGGGAAGCCCTCCTCTGCAGAGTCCAGGCCCTACAATGCTTCCGGAGGGTTCTCTCACACAATCCTGTGTCACACCAGCCTGTCCTGACTGGTCGTAGCCTTTAGAGCTTCTCACTGGGAAGCGTTACAGGTGGAATTGGAACACAGTTTTAGAAAAAGTGGAGTGATGGCGCTAATCAACGTGCAGCGTCTTAAATCCTTGATCCACTTTCAAACCCTTGTTGTCTGCTTTGAGGTTCAGCTTCAGATGTTTGCAGTTACTTATTCCTTTGTGTGACGATACCCAAATAATCATAACAGGATCCACTGCAAAATGACTTTAAAAGAGTCAGACCTTGAAGTTATTAGAAGTCCTTTTAAATTCCAGCATAGTGTGGGGAGGGTTTTCAGGAACAGTGGCTGATTTGGTTTGTTTTTGAAAGTATGTTGCCAAGGGGAACAAAAAAATATGTTGACAAATTGTGTATCCAATCTTGTCTATAAATGAGATTTAAATTTTCTCTACCATCTAGGAAGCTCAGTCTCATTTAAGTAACTTGTAGTGTTTGGTTAGGTTATTTCAGATAGGTTTTGTATCCTGGACTTAGGATTTTATTAACTACATAAAGATTTTTGTGATAACTTTGCAAGTATTTGTTAATACTTGAGTTTGAAAATCTGTCTTTTTAAAAATAATATTTAATATTCATAGCCTTATTACTGTAACGGAAATCCCTATTGTAAGTCTAGACAAGAAAGCATTGTATATCTAAAAGACATAATTTCAAGAAGTTTGATAAGGTTCTTGTTAGTTTTCACTGGAAATGTTTTTATATACTGTCTTAGTTCTGTTTGTTTTATTTCTAATGGTTGTGTTTATGGTTTATTTTATATAAATTTTTGTAATAAAATAAACTTTAATATTTTCTGGAGTTATTTTCTTTTAATGTTTATTTCATGCTCATTCAACTCTGCTTCAGCTGTGTACTTGTTAACTGGATTTGGTCAAAAATCAAATTTTTATTCATTTCTGAAGAACTTTAATTTTAAATCTTGCCAAAGTTATTTGTGAAAATACTGTTACATTTTTTGCCCGGCTAATTTCTGCTACGTTTGCACCTGTCCTCATGCTGGGCAAAACCTTTTGTATGTTGTTTGATACAGTCTGCTTTCGGGGTGTTGAGACCTTCAAAAACAGACCGTATCAAACAACATACAAAAGGGCAAGGTGTGTGGACGGGGGCAGGATGCTGTGGGCGGGGCCTGGGGCGGGCTCTTTGCCTCTGGTCCAATCCCGACGCGACGCTCCGCAGGCCGGCGGCCGATTGGTGGTTGCCATAGCTCCCGGCGTTCGTTTGACAAGATGGCGGCGGAGGGGAGACGGGGGCCTCTGCGCGGCCTCCGGGCGCTTCCCGGCTCCTGAGGGGGCGCGGTTCGGTGTGGCGGGCCGGCGGGGGCCCGGACATGGGCTCGCCACCGCCGGCCCCGCGGCTCTTGGGGCTCCTCCTGCTGCTGGGCGTCCCGAGGCCGCTGCGGGGGCACACGGGTGTGTCCGGGGAAGGGGCCCGCGGGGCCGGGAGGGAGCGGAGCGTTAGGGGCCGGGCCGCCGTCACCCCCCGCGGGCACGGGCCCGCCGCGCCTGACCCTCCCGTGCCCCCCTCCGCCAGGCTTCCTCCCCGCCTCCATCCGCGCGTCCGGCCCGCTGGCCAGCGCGGCCCTGCTCGGAGCCCCCGAGGACGCGGCCGTGTCCCTGTCGCTGCTGCAGGACCAGGCGGGTAAAGCCCGGCCCGGCCGGGAAGGGTGGGCGCTGGATCAGGTCCGGGCCGGCCGAGAAGCTGGGGAGGGGCCCCCGGGGTCCCCTGCCCCCGTCCACCTGGGAGTCAGGATGGGGAAGGGGCTGATGTGGACCACGAGAAAGCCCGCAGCCATACGCCTGGCACTCACCTTGTTGTGGATGAAGACAGTAGCATTTTGGGGATGCTGAGGTGCAGAGAGGCGGTCCCTTGCCCGGAGGCCTACAGCTTGCAAAGGGCCTGCCCGGGCCTGGCGGGGGATTCCATGCCAGCGAGTGCACCCCCTTAGCCGTGGGCAGTGCCACCCTGCATCCTGCATTCTGCCTCCTGCAGGATCCCTGCCGGTTCCCACGTGTGGCGAGCGGAACAACGACACGGGAGACTGGAGTCTGACGGTGACCCCCAACGTGGTAAGGCCGGAGGTGCGACCCGCACCGTAGGAGCTGCGGGACACGCGTGTAGTGCCTTCTTCCTGGGACTCTCCCGCTGGAAAGACGCCGGCCGTGGGCTTTCCAGCCCGGCAGGCACCCATCCTGCCCGGAGGTCCTCACCCTGGGGCTGGGGGTCCCTGGACGAGCTGCAGGGGCCCTCGGGAATGGTGTGTGCATTTTTCTCAGTGATTCTGTGACTCACAAAGCTTTCTAAACCACCGACCTCTGCCAGCCCTTCCATTTAGTAAACGTTTGATGGAGTGCCTGATACGTGCCAGGCATCAACTCTAGGGTTTACTTATTTTTATTTTTAATATATTTTTATTGACTTCAGAGAGGAAAAGAGAGGGAGAGAGAGAGATAAACATCCACGATGAGAGAAAATGATTGATTGGCTGCCTCCTGCACGCCCACTACTGGAGATCGACTCTGCAACCCTGGATGCTGTGGGCGGGACCCTTGACAGGAATTGAACCCGGGACCCTTCAGTCTGCAGGCCAACGCTCTATCCACTGAGCAACACCAGCCAGGGCAATTCTAGGGCTTATAGAGGATGAAAAAGACAGATTTTGCACCCCAGGTACTGTTTTCAGAACCTTTTTGAAAAATTTATTTATTTACTTAGTTATTTTTAATATATTTTATTGATTTTTACAGAGAGGAAGGGAGAGAGATAGAGAGCTAGAAATGTCGATGAAAGAGAAACATCGACCAGCTGCCTCTTGCACATCCCCTACTGGGGATGTGCCCGCAACCAACGTACATGCCCCTGACCGGAATCGAACCCGGTACCTTTCAGTCCACAGACCGACGCTCTATCCACTGAGCCAAACCGGTTTCGGCTGAAAATTTTTATTTTTCAGTGTTTTCTGCTCCCGCTGCTAGGATGGTAAGCTAGACAAACCGCATGAACGTCCACACCTGTACTGCGCTTTCCCCGGGTTGGCACACGTCGCTCTCTGTTGCGGGGACCGGAGGGGGGAGTCTGGTTTGCGTGTGGAGCGGTGGATGGGTGGCGCGGGCCGGAACCAGGGCCTCTTTGCATCCAGTCCTCCGTTGGAGCGCCCCGGGGCCCCGGGCGCTGTGGTGTTCCCGTGAGGGGCTCTCGCCATGGCAGGTGCGGAAAGGGCAGCGATCTGCTTCCTTCCAGAACGCGTGGGACGTGACGGTGAGGCTGAAGAGGGCCCCGCCAGCCTGTTCCTCTCACCGGACCGGCCCCTTCCCGGAGGCCCCGTGCATCGTCCAAACCCTCCTGGTGTCGGCATCGCACAACGCCACCTGCTTCGCGCAGCTGCTCATCCAAGTGGAAATCTACGCCAACTCCTCTCTGGCCCAGAGTGCGCCAGGCAAGTGGAGTCTCTTTTTAAGCTCTACCTAAGGACGTGCTTTTATTGATTTTCTTTTTTTACAGAGAGAAAGAGAAAGGGATAGAGAGTTAGAAACATCGATGAGGATGAGAGAGAGAGTCATCGATCAGCTGCCTCTTGCATATCCCCTATTGGGGATGTGCCCGCAACCAAGGTACATGCCCTTGACCGGAATCGAACCCGGGACCTTTCAGTCCCCAGGCCGACGCTCTATCTACTGAGCCAAACCGGTTTTGGCTCCATTTATTGATTTTTAAACATTTTCTTTTTTAGAGAGAGGAAGAAAGAGAGGAGAGAGAGGTTGATGTGAGAAAGAAATGTGGACTGGTTGCCTCCTGTACATGCCCCAACCAGGGATTGAACCCGCAACCTGGGTATCTGCCCTGACAGGTGTTGGGGACGATGATCCAACCAACTGAGCCCTGCCGGCCAGGGCACTGTTCTATACCTTCTAAAAAATGCATGGTCCTGACCGGTGTTGCTCAGTGGATAGAGCATCAGCCTGCGGACTGAAGGGTCCCAGGTTCAGTTCCCGTCAAGGGCATGTACCTTGGTTGTGGGTATATCCCCAGTAGGACCTGTGCAGGAGGCAGCTGATTGATGTTTCTAACTCTCTGTCCCTCTCCCTTCCTCTCTGTAAAAAAATCAATAAAATATATTAAGATGATGTCATCAAACAGTAGCACAATGATAACTAGTTAACAGATTTAAATACAAATTGGAGATTGCTCCATATGAATACGCCTAGGTTTGCCTCGTTCTGTTGAGCAGCTGTCAGTAGTGCCCTGTGCGAATATACCGTGGTTTCATTCAACTGCTCTCTCAGTGAGGGCGCCCACGCCATTTCCAGCTTTCGCTGGGGTGGCTGGCGCTGACACACACATCAGGAGGCGGTGGTTTGTGTTCTCCCTGTCACGTGACAGCAGTGTGCTAAGGGCGGAAGGGTGCTCACGTCCAGGGTCCGCTTTGCCTGTTTCCTGGTGTTTGGGTTTCCCTGCGTCTGATGCACAGCTCCCGGCAGGGCTCCTGGCCTGGCGGTGGGAACGGGGTCTGGGGGACGGGGCTCGGCCTGGTGGCCGGCGTCAGGGGCGTTCCAGCTGAGCTCCGGTGTTCCTCGCAGAGAACGTGACTGCCATCCCCGACCAGGTGCACCAGCCGCTGGGCCCGTGCCCCTGCAACCTCACGGCCGGCGCCTGCGACGTGCGCTGCTGCTGCGACCAGGTGCGCCGAGTGCTCTTCTCCTTTCAAATACGTCCTCACCTATTTCAGAGAGAGAGGGGAAGAGAGAGGGGGGGAGAGAGGAACATGGGGGAGCGACATCAACATCAGGGGGATGGAGTCTGAGGCCCAGGCACGTTCCCCGACGGGGACTCAGACCTGTGACCTCCCGGCGCCCCTGCACCTTCCTTCCTTCCTTCCTTCCTTTTTTCCTTCCTTCCTTTTTTCCTCCCTCCCTCCCTCCCTTCCTTCCTTCCCTTCCTCCCTCCCTCCCTCCCTTCCTTCCAGGAATGCTCCCCAGATGCCACCCAGCTCTTTCGGGGGGCCTGTTTCGCCGGCGTGTTTGGAGGGGACGTCAGCCCACCTTTCGACCAGCTCTGCTCCGTGCAGAGGGCGCCCGGGGCCCCCGGCTGGTTCCCGTTCCTGTGCGTGCAGTCCTCGCCCACCAACTCGCCCTTCCTGGGCTACTTCCACCGCGGGGCCGTGTGAGTGTCCCCGGGCTGCCGGGCGGGAGCTGATCATGTTTCTAACTCTGTCCCTCTCCCTTCCTCTCTGTGAGAAAGAACACGTGTGCTCGGCAGGTAAGAGCTGACAGTGTCAGTCAGTGAGTGTCTTTCTTGTTGACTTCCAGGTCCTCGGGGCAGCCCACCACCTTTGCCCCATACCTGCACGCTGATCCGAAGGACATGTCGGACTTGGGGTACAAACAGGGAGACCCCGTGATGACTGCCGCTCAGGCCTATCTCACTGTCCCTCAGGTAACAGTCCCAGCAGGATGTGCTGCAGCCTTTTCTCTGTCTCCCCCGGTTTTTAATTTAACACATTTTGCTCTAAAAACACCCCCTCAGCAGCTTATTCTTCCCATCGATCAGCTGTCTCCTCGGAAAGGTTCTCGCTGTGATGGCTGACGAGCAGGTGGCCCTTGGTTGGTCTAGACCAGTGTTTCCCAAACTTCTCTCATGATGAGAATCACCTGAGGGAGTTGTTAAACTACAGATTCCTGGGTCCCAACTAAGAAGTGCTAAACTAGAATTTTTGGGATCATATAGGTAAAATTATATACTTAATTTAGTTGGGATTCAGGAATCTGTAGTTTAAGAACTCCACCAGGTGATTCTCATCATGAGAGAAGTTTGAGAAACACTGGTCTAGATGGTCAGCCAGCGAGGCGGGAGGGGGGGGGCAAGCCCAGCGCAGCCAGCAGTGGGCGCGGGGAGACACTCTTCGGAAGTCGCCTGTGTTTGCTGATCAGCCGGTGCTAAGTGCAGGGTGTCCCCTCGCCCGCAGGTGACCCTGGCCGGGCAGTGTGTGCGGGACGCCCCGGTGGGATTCCTGCAGAACTTCGACGTTCGCTGCGTTACTGACCTGGACGCCTACCAGGAACCAGGCAGCGCCCCGGACGCCGGGATAAAGGCGGGCACCGTGGGAGGTAGGCGCGGCGGCCGGACTGAGCACAGGCCCCAGGGCGAGGTCAGCGCTCATCGCCTGAGAACTGCAGTGCCCATCTGCAGTGACTGGAAGCACTAAACTCCCATTGAGGAAGTAGCTTACTTTATTTTATTTTATGAAATATATTTTTATTGATCTCAGAGAAGAAGGGAGAGGGAGAGAGAGAGAAACACCAATGAGGAGAGAGAATCATGGATCAGCTGCCTCCTGCATGCCCCCCACTGGGCATGGAGCCGGAAACCCTGGGCCTGTGCCCTGACCAGGAATCGAACCGTGACCTCATGGTTCCTAGGTTGGTGCTCAGCCTCTGAGCCAGGCGGCCCGGCACGTTCCCATTTCTGGGATATCCGCGGTGGGATCGCGGGGTTGTGCGGTCCCCTAACCAAGCTGCTTTCTAAAGGGGCTGCCCGTGCCCACTCCTGGCAGTGTGCAGTGTGCTGCGTGCCATGCGTGGCTCTTCTCCTGAGTTTCTTTCCAGACCTTGTCGCTGACCATCCTCAGTGTAATGGGGCCGGCCATGGGGGTCCCACTCGGTGGTGCTCCGGTGGGAGAGGTGTGGTTGGCACACAGACCCGGCCTCGCAGGGCCCACACCTGCGGGACAGGCTTTCACTTCCCGTCCACACGGCCCCGCCAGGGCGGCGCCCGTGGACGTTAATCCCGTCTCTCTCAGGCGTCGTCATCCCACACGTGACCTACGAGGAGGCAGCTGACCCGGGCCAGGTCGTCACGGGCACAGGTACTCGGGGTCACGTGTTTATGTCATTTTTTAGGGCCATTCTCACTTCTCGCTTTCACTTCTTCCTGCACGAGCTCAGTGGGGTGGCTGCAGCGCGGCAGGGAGCGTGGCAGCCGCCCGCTGACGGCGCTGCCACACCGGCCTCTCCTTTAACCAACATCTCGCCGAGCGTGTCCTCGAGCTGCGAGCCACGCCGCAGGATCGGATCCCCGGTGAACGTGTTTTTCCCTTCGCAGAAACTCTGCTACCTCCCGGATCGGCCCCCAGGAACGTGACTGTGGAGGGACACTATCTCTTCCGATGGAACAATCGCACCATCAGCGAAGTACACGTCAGGATTGTCAGGGCGAGGCTCCACGCCCACCAGACAGGTACGGGGAGGCAGCGAGGCGGCTTTCCCGCTTTGAGATTCCGTCACCAGAGCAATCAGACACAGGCCGGCTTGGTGTGCGCGATGTGACGTGAGAAGGCGGCTTGTTTACACGTCAGAGTGCAGCTGCCGGGGAGAGAGCCCGCTGCGGGCGGGCGACACCCCTTCCCAGTGAGACGGGCGCTCGTTCCGTTTGTTTTCTCTCCAGGAACCCTGACGCAGCGGTTTACAGTGAGGTTTTTAAGCCATAACAGCGGCCCCGGGGAGGAGAGGTCTGGGAACCCAGGTGAGAGTACACGCCAGCCGCCCACCTCACAAGCGTTCCGGCCAGCACCCCGCCCGAGGCGTCAGGGACCGGCAGGTGGCGAGTAACGTTCCGTGTGAGCTCGTGATCCGCCTGTCTCCTCGCTGGCCTCGCCTGAGCCCCGCTTGCTGTGCGTCCAGGTTACCAGCTGGGCAGGCCTGTGCGCGCCCTCCGTGCCGGCAGGAGTGACCCCGCGGCAGCCCTGAGCCTCTGGCAGCCAGGTAACCTGCTGGGGGAGGCTATGCCTGTTTGGGATGGAGCCAGTGCGGTGACTTTGGGTTCAGCTGTTCACTTAGCCGCAGGGAGGGGGTTCTCCTGCTTTGTCGTTGTCCTCATCGTTAAGATGGTCACGTGGTTTGTGCCGGAGGTGTTGGGCATCAGTAAGAGAGTGATGTGTGGGGCTGGCGGGGAGCCTGTCGCCGGGAGCCCTCGGTGGAGACAAGAGCTTTGTCCCAATCAGGCTCCGCTTTCCCGGTGGAACGAGCCGGCCCTAGTGTCTCTGGAGGCGCCGGCTCAGCCTGGGGGACCGAGTCTCCTCAGCACAGAGACTCGCTCTGCTTGTCGCTTTCTCTCTGTGTCTCAAGAAAAACTTTAAAAAATAGTTTCATTGATTTGAGAGAGAGAAACATCAGTGAGAATCATGGACCGGCTGCTTCCTGCATGACCCCCACTGGGGATGGATCCCCCAACCCGGGCCTGGGCCCTGGTCGGGAATCCAGCTGGCAACCTTTTGGTGCCTAGACAATGCTCAACCCACTGAGCACACCGGCCAGGCTCAAGGAGAGCTTTGTAGCGGATCTTTCCTTTTGTTTAGCTTGGGTAGTAAGAGGCGGACTCCTTTTTTCACAGCCGGGAGGGGTCTGTGCGCATCGGCGCCCCTCAGACCCGTCTTATTTGGAGAAAACGTGCTCTCGGGGTGCCTCTTGGAGGTGGGCATCGACGAGAACTGCACTCGGCTCCGGTGAGTGCCGTTCCTCCCCACCCCCCTTGGCTTGGAGACCCGAGAGCCAGGCCTTGGGGGTGAGACCAGCTGCCAGCCACGCGCTGGGAAAGGTCTTGCTCTCTCGCAGGGACAAGGCGGCGGGAATCCTCGATTCATTAATACAAGCGACTCACGTGGCAGCGAGAGGCAACTCGGGTTACGGGGACCGCAGCGACGGCTGGCTGGAGATTGTCAGTGAGTGGGGGCTGCACGGGGCATGGAGGGCGTGGCTGCTGGACTGTGAGCCCTCCAGCCGGCCCGCTGTCTGCTGTGGCTCTCCGACACGTTGGGGTTAGCACTCTTCCTCTCTTACTCCTGATGCCTGTTTGTTTCTGAAGAAGGAAATCCGCACGAAGGTCAAGTTGCCCTCGTCGTTAGGAGCCAACAGTGTCTGTAGGAAGTGGAGTGGGGGGGAGTTTGCATTGTTTTTGGTCCCAGGAACATGGGCAGTTGAGACCTGCCTTTTTGATTTAAAAAGTTTTTTTAACTTAAAAGAAAAGGTGACAGGAGACCTGCTGCTAAGGGAACCAGTGCCCGCCCTGTCGGAGCCCATCCCCCTCCTTGAGCAGCGACCAGAACCGGAGACCGAAAGCAGATCAGTGGCCACGCGTGGCCGGCCGGGGCGGTGGGAGGCGGTGAGGGTGACTGCTCATGAGTACAGGACTCTGCCGGGTCACATTGACCGGGGCCGGGATCAAACCTGCACCCCAGGCGCCCGCCCTTATCCGGGAATCAAACCCACGCCCCAAAGCACTCGGGCCACACCGTCCGGGCTGCCTCACTGCCCTGAGGTCCCGCAGCCCAGCCGGCCGGACTCTCACCCACCAGCTCCGAGGTTTCAGCGCAGTGAGGCGGCCTCTGTGAGGACCGGAACCAATCATGATTTCTCGTGTGGTTACCTGGGCCTGGAGTTCGAAAATTCCAGTGCTGACGACGTATACGGAAACTTCTCGAACACAAGGGGTACTACTGTCATGGGATGACAGATAGGAGCCCCTTAGAGAGGGAAGCCTCACTCACGCGCTTCCTGTCCGACATTTCCCGTTTTTACGGCATCCGGGGATGGTAGAAAAACCGTTACTTTCTTCCCCAATGCAGCGGCCCGGGACACAGGCGCAGGCCCCGCTGGTGGCCGCGGGAATGGCGTCTGCGAGGAGGTCCCTGCCCGGCTGCACGTCCGCATCCTCACCTGGGAGGCTGGTGCGGTGGAGGGGGTCCCCCAGCAGGAGATCCTGGGCGTCGAGAAGAGGTGAGGCTGCCCGACGCGGTTCCAAGGCGGGAGCGGGGAGGGCGCCCGGGACGGACACGCGGCCTCTGCCGTGGGCTTAGTGCAAGTCGCAGTTGTTGGCCACGGGTGGGAAAAGGGACATGTGTCCCCGCGTTGTCGTGGCAATAGCTGTGTGTAACGGCTTCTTGCGAGTACATCTGAAAACTCACATAGTACAAACCGGGTAACTTTAAAAATGTTTTTATTGATTTCAGAGAGGAAGGGAGAGAGAAAAACAAAAACATTGATGATGAGAATCATGGATCGGCTGCCTCCTGCACTCCCCCCACTGGGGATTGAGCCCACAGCCTGGGCCTGTGCCCTGACCGGGGATCGAACCCTGACCTTCTGGAACCCCTGAGCCCCGCTGGCCAGCAGGGGTGAGGTCGTTGAGGGACTCCTGGTCATGTTGCTGTCAGTCGCCTGATGTCCTCAGGTGACAAGCGAGCCGGTGTGCTGCCTGTGCCCTCTCCCCGCAGGGTCTCCTCGGTGACTTGGCGGCCCCAGTGCGGGCTGACCTGTGAGCAGGCCGGCCTCTTCGCCCTCAGCGCCTCCGTGCAGTTCATTCAGGTCCCTGCCCGGCGACCCCGGCCTCTGACCAGGTAGGGCACTGATCCGGTGGGTGGTTTTTAGGAAGCAGAAAAATAGAGGTCTTTGAAAATAAGCGTACTTCTTTAACCAGCTTTGCTACTTCTCACCAAAAGTGTGCTTTGTGGCAGTGACTGCAATCTTCTGAACGTTTTCTAGGTTCCAGGTGAACTCCACAGAGTACAACTGTGACAGGAACGACGTGTGCTGGCCGCAGCTCCTGTACCCCTGGACCCGGCACTACCGAGGTGGGCAGCCTCGTGGCCTGTGTACAGGTTAAAAAGGAAAACGTACCGGCCATGGCTCAGTTGGCTGGGCAGCGTCCTGAGCGCCGAGAGGTTGCTGGTTCGATTCCCGGTCAGGCACATGCCCGGCTGGCGGGCTCAGTCCCCGATGGGTGTTTTACTCTCACATTGATGTTTCTCTCTCTCACTTCTCTAAAAACCAGTTAAAACAAAGGTTGATCGTGGTTTGGCTTGTTGCCATCTAAGTAATTACAGGAAGTGGGGAAGGAAGGTGTCGCTGACTGGCTCTCCTCTTGCAGGGGAGCCCTATGCCCGGTGCGTGGCCAAGGGCCTGCTGCTGGCCGCCTTCTCCGTGGTGGCCGTGCTCCTCAGCGACCCCTGGACCAGGGCACGCAGAGCCTGACCCGCCACCGCCCTCAGACCACGGCGTCCCCGGATCGGCTCCGCGTCGTTCTGAGGCGGAGGGTTTTGTTCTGCGGGAAACGCTGGCCAAGTGCCCGCTGGGTTCCATTCCCCGCGGGCTCTCCAGACCGGTGCTCACTGCGCTGCCGGACCAGACGGAGCAACGTGCACGGGCTCCGGGCCTGCCTCCGGCTACCGGAAGCGTTAGTTTATCCCACTTGACTCAGGTCCTAGGAGCTTCGGTCCAAATATGTTACTTATACCTTAGAGAATTATTCCTTCAACTTTTTATATACAGAGTCCCCAAAAATGTGCACACACTTTAACAGCTGACTGCTCAATTCTGAAAATGAAATGTACTTTAATAAACACCGCCTTTATAATTATCCAACACGTGTGTATGCATTTTTTTCAGGACACGATCCCGCGGGGTCTCCTCGGGAGAAGTCGGGGGTGCAGGGGGAGGCGGACCTCCGGGCCCCGCATCAGGTCACCCGGTGCAGCGCTGTGTGCAGAGGACACGCGCCGGGCCGGAGCCTGCCTCCTGTCTGCACGGGGACCGGGTCCGAGGGAAAGCCCGCCGCCGGCCAGCACCACGGCCCCCCGCGTGGCTCCGCGGCGTCAAGTGTCCGGAAACGGGGAGACCCTCGGAGACAAAGGGCCGCGCGGACGGGAAGGGGCTGCCCGCGGGATTGATGCCCCAACATCGACCGAGAAGAAGCTGCACAGCCCTGCGACGTGACCGAGAGCGCGGGTCGGGGGTCGGGGGACGCGGCGCGCACCCCCAGACACTCGTCTTCCAGCTTCAGGCGGCGGGCGGCCGGGTTCCGTCCGCGTCCGGCGGGGCGTCGAGAGCACCCGCGTTCCCCTGCAGGGTGTGCGCTGATTGGCTGCTCGGCGCCGTTGCACGCCGCAACTCCAAGCGCCATTGGTCAGCCGAGGGGGAGGGGGCGGGACCGGAAGTGGCTAGGGCGGTGGGCGGGGCGTGGCTCGGCGGCGGCGGCGGCGGCGCGGCTGGAGCGGCGGCCGCGGGGGCAGGACCGGGGGCGGCGCAGCTGCCCGGAGCCCGATGGTGCGGCGCCGCGGCCAGGCCGCAGCAGGAGCCCGAGGCCCGGGCCGCCCCGGCTGACCGCGCGGGCCCGCGCCGCCTGGAGCCCCGGTGCCGCCCGTCGGGCCCCGCCGGGGCGCGGGCCGCCCGCCGCCATGGGGTCCCTGTTCCGGAGCGAGCCCATGTGCCTGGCGCAGCTCTTCCTGCAGTCGGGCACGGCCTACGAGTGCCTGAGCGCCCTGGGCGAGAAGGGCCTGGTCCAGTTCCGAGACGTGAGTGTCGCCCGGGAGACTCGGGCCTCCCTTCCGCCCGCGCGGGGCCCCGGGGCGCGCCGCTGCCCCCGTTTCCCAGGCGGGGAAACTGAGGCCGCGCCCAGGTCCCGACCTAGAGAACAGCGAGCGCCCCGAGAGGCCCTCCTCAGCTCCACCCGGCGCCGGGCAGGGCGGGCGGGCACCTCCGACAGGGCCTCTCTCCCCGAGTCCATCTGGGACGGACGGGGGTGGCGGGGGACAGACAGAGATCGGGCACGTTAAGTCCATAAACAAGAAGATGTTTTGCTGAAAAGGAAATAATACGGGGGTTGGCGTGAGGGTGTGGCTCGGCTGGCGGTGGTCAAGGTGGGCTTCCCGGAGGAGGTGGCATTTGGGTGGAGACCGGATGGGAAGGAAGGACCTGGCCTGGGGGGATATTGGGGCACCCGGTGACAGGTGAACTCAGAGCCTGAATGGGCTGAGAGCGAGGCGTGGGCTCCTCCAGGGGAGGGATTGGTGTGGGTTTTGTTCCCTGACGGTGGGAAGATGGGCCATGGCCTGGCCGGCAGCGCCGTCAGTACTGGTTTGAATGGACGCTGTCTCCCCGACAAGGGACAGTGAGCGCTTGTTTGTGGGCCTGTTTACTTGTGTGTCTCCTCTGTTCACGCTCCGCCTGTTCGCCCCCGAGGGTCAGGGCCTCTCCTCACGGGTCCCCTCCCGCGTCCCCCGGCGCTGGGAGGCACCGAAAGGCGTTTGCCGAGTGACCGACACGCCTTGGCTGAGTGTGTGCTCGGTGCCAGATGCCGGCTTGGGTGCTGGGACCGCCTGGGTGGGAGCCAGGAGGACAAGGTCCTGGTGTGGCCAAGCTGGGCCTGGGAGGAGACGCACACGCTGATGAGGGCGATAGGGAGAGCGGGGTGTGGACCCGAGCTGGGGAGCCGGACCTGGGACGGGAAGTCACCGGGGTGGGTGTTTGATTTCCTGGGCCACAGCCTTCCTCCCCAGGGGGTTCCCCTCATCTTTCGGGGGTTCCTTCACTTCCAAAGGAAACGCCCCTCCGGCGTGCTGAAGCCGCTGGGCTGGGGAGAAGCCCCGAGGGCCGGGGAGGCTGCAGGGCAGGCCCCGCCTGCCGGGTCCCGGGGGCGCTCGGGCCCCGCACCCCGTACCCCCGGTGCCCACTTGCCCGGCGGGTGCTGGGCCGCGCTGCGCAGCTCGGACTCAGGAAGCGCCTCCCGCCTGCACAGCCTGGGAGTCCCGGGCCGGGCGGGCCAGGCTTCAATCTCAGAGGCTTGAACAAATGCCCATCTCCGGGAGATTCGAGTTTCACACGGTGTCATTGCCACCTGAGGCCGAGGGGGGAAGCGAAAGAGCGGCTCTCCTCTTCCAGGAGAAGCAAAACCGAAGGCTCTTCCTCGTGTGGGGCTGGTTTTCCGCGCTCGGGGTGTGTGTGTGTCTCCGGGCGGCCGTCCAGCAGCGTGGATGCTGGTGCAGAAAGTTCCATCCGGCTGACATTCCCCTGCTCTTTTCTGGGCTGTCTTACTGACCCTGTTCACCAGCTGGATGCCTGGCCTCTGACTTCCCAGTCCTTCTCAGGGGAAGGAGGCAGGGCCGGGGTTTCCGTGGTGACAGCCCTGAGACCATCTGGATAAAGGCAAGGTTCTCTCCCGGACCTGCGGCTCAGGGAAGGCGGAGCCTTGAACTTGGCCACAGTCTGAAGTCTCAGGACAACTGTCACCTGTAGGCAGTCGCACAGCTGCATCACCGGGAGGAGATGAGCAAAAAGAGCAGCCGGGAGCCTCTGCCTGTTTTGTTTTATAGGTTTTTTATTGGTTTTACTTTATTTATTTTATTTTGGTTTTTATTGGTTTTAGAGGTTTTTATTGGCTTTAGAGGTTTTTAAAAATATATTTTGATTTTTTACAGAGAGGAAGGGAGAGGGAGAGTTAGAAACATGGATGAGAGAAACATCGGTCAGCTGCCTTCTGCTCACCCCCCCACTGCGGATGTGCCTGCAACCTAGGTAACATGCCCTTGACTGGAATCGAACCTGGGATCCTTGAGTCCGAAGGCTGACACTCTGTCCACTGAGCCAAACCGGTTAGGGTGAGATTTTTGTTGGTTTTAGAGGTGTTTTTTTTTGTTTTGTTTTTTTTGTAGGTTTTAGAGAGCAAGGAAGGGAGAGGGATAGAGAGAAACATCCATGTGAGAATCACTGATGGACTGCCCTCTGTATGTCTCCCAGCACGGGCCCTGACCGGGAATCGAACCCTGACCTCCTGGTTCATAGGTCGATGCTCAGCCCCTGAGCCACGCTGGCCCGGCCCTCTGCTGGGTTTCTGAGTTAAATGTTAATCTTCCCGGGAATCCACCTTTAAATGTCCTTCATCTCGCCAGCTGGAGTTAGGGCGGTGCTGCCTCCCAAAAAGAAAAGAGAAAGGACACTGTGTAGAGGGAGCCACGTATCAGGAAGCACAGAGTTAGCGCCTGTGAGACGGTGTGGCCGGGTCCCCCCGATCTGTGCTCAGGGCCGGGCCGGCTCTTCCTGGGGCTGCCCTAGGCTGCAGGGTCCGGGGAGTGCTCAGCGCGGGGAGGAAGGAAGCAGCGAAGCCGGGCAGCTGTGTGGCTGGCGGGCGGCTTGGGGCCTGGCTCCCCTTTGACACAGTTCTGTGGGGACTGATGGTGTCCGAATCGCCAGCAGCTGGAGAGGGGTTACATCAGGTCAGTGTGAGTTCCAGAAATGAGTGGGATTTGTCTTCCTTGAGGGTAATTTTTAAAAAAGTAACTTCGCACACTGCACAAGAACCGAACCTTTGGGTAGACTCCATGCCGAGGTGTTGACTTGGTCACAGTCGCAAGAATTCTGAACGGAAAACTTCTAGTTTGTAGGTCGGCGTTCAGCCACTGAGCCACACTGGCTGGGCTGGGATTGTTTTTAAAAACAATTTACTGTTGTAAGTACTACAGGTGTCCCCTTTCCCCTCCCATTGACCCTCCCCGCCGCCCCGCTCCGGGCCAGAACCTGAATCAGGGCGTCTGGGCTGTGCTCCCGAGAGGGCTGCAGGGGAGGGCCCTTCCTGCCCCTTCAGCTTCTGGGGGCTCCTGGCTGCATCCGGGGCCCTCCTCCATCTAGGTGCCCACTTTCGCCTGTTTACGTGGCCCGCCCGTTCACGTGCTCACTTAAGGCTGACCACGTGGCATTGCTCCTTGATCACGTGCCCAGCTGTTCACGTGGCCCCGCCCCTTGACCACGTGCTTGCTTACAGCTGTCCACATGGCCCGCCCCCTTGAGCCCCGGGCGGGCTGCGTCCGGTGCCGCTCCGGCCTGCCCGCTCGCACACTGTCCCAGGCCTGTGCCCAGCCCCCCGGGAAGCCATGGGCGGGCGCAGCCCCTGCTGGGCGGTGACTGAGGGGAGCCGGGGCGCAGGACCGGAGGCCCTGAGAGGCCCGACGTGGGACTGACTCCGGTCTGCACACCGGCGACCCCGCATTCGCTCCGGTCTGAGTCCCGGTGCCGCCCACCGCCGGCAGCGCACCCCTGGGCCCCACTCGGCGCTCGCACCCTCGGCCTCCCCCGGGGACCCCTGAGCTCGGCCCAGCCTGTCCCTCCTCCCGGGTCCTCAGTCTGGGGGGGTGACCCGCAGACATTGGGGTGCAGACACCAGGGGGGCCCTCCGCCCTCACATACCTCCCAAAGGCCCAGAGCGCCGGGTCTGCTGACGTCACCCCGGAGGGCGGGGCCTGCGCCGTGCGGCCACCAGAGGCGGACGTGCCTCTGGGGCCGCGGGATGCCCACCTGCCCCACAGCCCTCCTCAGGCCCCCAACTCCTGCCGGAGGGGAGCCAGGTGTCAGTCATTTTTAAATTATAAACATGATACACGTGGGGGGAAAAGTATATTGTGGAACATTTGGAAAATAAAAGAATCAGATGATAACTTCTATGATCCCAGTACCTAGAAATAAACACTTTAACTTTCTGGCTAATATTGGCCAACCATTCTTTTTAAAATAACAATTAAAAATGCGCATGTGTATTTATATAATTAAAACGGCACTGAAAATATCTCTAATCTGTTTCACACACAAATCATGTC